TTTTGGCCATTCATTTGCACGACTTTTTAAAATGATACCGTTATCGTCTCAGTGTAAACTACAAAAACACAGATTTGCGAAAACGGTGACGTCATGCGCATGTGTATTACTTCTCTCTACAACACATTCTCGTCCCGAGACGTAATCTAACTGACGCTTTCGACTATACGTCAACATCACATTTAGGGCACCCTTTAACATCAGTTAGATGACTCTATCCTAGGGCGTCATCTAACTGACGCTTTACCTTTAGCGTCAGTTATAGACGCGGGTAGGTTTAGGCCTGGGGTAGGGTTAGGGTTAGATAGCGTCATCTAACTGACGTTAAATGGTAAAACGTCGGATGTTGACGTATGGTCAAACGTGTCAGTTAGACGATGTCTTGGGCTGCTCTCTATAGACCATTTCACAAGATGTAAACAACACTGGTCCAGAAGCACTTCCTGTTTCAGTTTGTAACCGTTTTCTTTATTTCACATGTAAAGAAAACATCTTAAAGATGTTTGTTTAACTTTTTGATTCAGTTTTATATGTTCTGTTGGTTGTATTTTATCCCAGCTTTTATGTAGTGTTAAAAAACTGAAACAGGAAGTGCTTCTGGACCAGTGTTGTTTACATCTTGTGAAATGGTCTATAGACGCATAGCATTTCTTTAAAAAGTGATATCGCCAACTACTGGCCTGGCATGAATAATACTGCGTTTTTAGTCGTTGTAGAGGAACCATGTGAATGGGGATTGTTTTGACAATGTTGTCGCTTGTATGTGAAAAACAAAAATGGGTGACAAAAATCAATTTAGGTATTTAGTACATCGTTGTCATGTAACCAGTGGCAGTCCAGGCTAAAATGAGAAAAAAATATTATTTCCATTAAAGTTAGATGCATTATAGTTTGTGTTTAGTGTACACACGCTCAAATCCCAAACTAATGCACCGTTATTGGTCCCACTTTATATTAAGTGGCTTTACGTACTATGCACTTACATTGAACAATAAGTACAATGTATTATTGTGTTCCTGTTGTATTGTAAAACACTTTTGCTGCTATTGAGGTGTGATACGGGTAAGGTTAGGGACAGGTGTGGTGGTATGGGTCGGTTTAAGGGTAGATTCAAGGCAAAATGAACCTTTGGTCTAATTACACATTGCTACCTAGTCAGCCGTTATCTGAGATTTGTTTTCATGATTGCTGAATGTAAATAGTTTTATCTCTAAAAACAGTTTAGCCTATAACGCTAGTATAATGCTAGTATATAGGGCATAGAGTAATGACAAATAAAAATCGCTTGTTATTACCACTAACAAGCCTCAAAATAGCCCGACACTAACACGACAGCATAACAAGGGTCCCTACATTCAAACCGAAGCATTGAGAACTTTGTTAGTGTCCAAACAGTTTAATAAGAAGATATTTTATACACACAGTCAACTTAATAAGTAAATTTCGCGAATACAGGAAGAAGCCATCTTTGAAAAATAGTCTCTACCAGTCGATCTACGAGCGCCGATCCAAGTGCGCTGAACTGTGCAGAATCTCATACGGTCCGTTGTTTCCAGAAGAAACACAAACACAAACCGTTTACTTGTCTTCAATATATACACGTAGCCTACTGTTCGCGCTCACCTTATCACCTTATTCACATCTCACCAGCGCACTTGGATAGGCGTTCGTAGATCGACTGGTAGAGACTATTTTTCCAAGATGGCTTCTTCCTGTATTCACGAAAAATATCTGCTTATTAAACTGTATGGACACTGACAAAGTTCTCAACGCTTCGGTTTGAATGTAGGGACCTTTGTTATGCTGTCGTGTTACTGTGGGGCTCTTTTGAGCCTTTTTAGTGGTAATAACAAGCGATTTTTATTTGTCATTACTCTATGCCCTATATACTAGCATTATACTAGCGTTACAGGCTAAACTGTTTTTAGAGATAAAACTATTTACATTCGGCAATCATGAAAACAAATCTCAGAAAACTGTTGACTAGGTAACAATGTGTAATTAGACTAAAGGTTCATTTTGCGCCGGAGTTGTCCTTTAATGTGTGAGGGGAGGGTCAACTGTGTAATTGCAAATGTAATTACATAAAGTAATTATAGCTGTAATTACATTTTGATATTTTTAAAATACAAGTACAATGTAAAAAACACTAAGTCCATTGTATCAAATTATTAATTTCAATGTAAGTATATAGTACTTAAAGCCACTTAATATAACCCAATTATTTTTGAAATAAAACAAAACTGCACCTGAACTGAGCCAGTGTTCAACATGCATTTTCAGTTCGTAAAAGGCAAGGTACGACATTTTCAACAGCAAGTGCCATTGTTTTGTCTGGTAATGTTTTTTTCTAATGCACATTTATTAAAAATCTCTTAAAATGTCCTAATTGAACTAAGGCTTACTATTGACTTAATCTAAGCCCTGTCTCTGAAACCAGGCCTACATGTCTTAGTACTCACAAAGACAGAATAATCTAAGGTAGTGCAAGGCAAAAGGGCCTGATAAATTCTTCGATGCATGTTCTCTAGAGAATACAGAGATGTTAAAGAGTGATGTTTGCACAGTTAAACACTAACGTGCCACACTCAGGACAGCTGCTTCTGTCCCGTTATTAAATGGGATCAAAATGGTTTCTGTTCCCAACATGAACTTGCTGACACCGTTGTTTGTGCAGTCATGACTGGACACTTCAGTCAGACAGCTGAATCAGTGAAATGTTTCATAATTCCTACTAACCGCTGATTGGAATTGCTTCAGGTACAATTTATGTACGTTCTCATTCATCCGCTGTGCGCTGATCTGGAATTCCTCACCCTTGGGAAAGAGGGGGAATTCCACACAGTAACACCCCCCACCACACACACACACACACACACAAACCCTGTCTGCTGAGCTCACTTCCTGCTGTAGACACAGACAACAGGAAGTATGTAAGTGTCAGCAGGCATAATGAAGGAGTGCAATCCAGGTGCATGGCTGAATAACTGTCCCTTACGCTATAGTGGGAAGGAGCTTTCCATAAATCAACTTACACTGTCATCATAACCCATTATCGCCACCATGTGGTGAATGCATGAAGAGTAATTGTGAAAATCTGTATTGTGAAAAGCGCTATATAAATATATTTGACTTGAGTACTTTACAAACTAAATTAGCAAAGCAACTTCAGACTAGCATTTAAGGAGGAGATCAATGAAAACGAAAAAGATTCATCCCACTGGAGTGTTAATGATAGATCTCTTCATTTGAGGCAATTCGCTGATGAAGTTAACTTTCTTCCTCTCTAAAGTATAATCTCTTCAGAAAGAACATGAAAAGAGACGTGAGAGCTGTAAAATGGCAAATAATTTAGGAAGTTTGACTTTACGGAAACAAACACGGCTGATAGCAAATGTTTGTTTAGCCCATTCCAAGAGCTATCATCATAACGGCTGTGAACTGCCCGAGGTTCAAGTGTTAAGTGACCATGTTAATGTAAATCTCAGATGTTCAGAAAAAGTGCAACAAAAAAACTAAAAGAGACAATCTTTAATTCAGTTGACGTCTTTATTCATTCGGTTTCAGAAAATGAAGGGACGGAAAACTGACCACCTCAGGAGGAGAAACGGCCTGAGACGATCACTGAGAATGAACAGAAGACATCATTAACTCCTTTTGCACTTAAATGGAGCTCGGTATGCTCTTTGTTGGCAAGTGTTGAGAATATAATCCAATAGATTTACTTGAACAGAACTGCTTTTGATGCAACTGTCAGAGATTACGTACAGTAGGTCTAATAATGAATTTGATTATTATCAAACAATTTACACCTATGATGTTTGTAAATCAAAATTATTTTAGAAGGACGCGGCGTCAAGCAACTGTCCGATGCGATTCATGAGCCTGCGCGCTGCATTGAACACTTTCAGATTACAACCTTTTGTTGACTAAAATCCGGATGGACCGAGAACATGATCTGACTCCGGCCTTTAACAAAACCTGACAAGGTGAACTTGAACTCCAAAGACCGTGATTTTGCCAAGACACACGTGTTCCTGGATCAACATATTTTGTAGATCCTGAATCAACATTCCTGTCCCAAAATGTAGTCCTTACACTCTAAAAATGCTTTTTGGGCCAATTTGGGTCAAATATGGACAAACCCAAACGTTGGGTTAAAAATGTAACGTAAAAATTTAACCCAATGGCTGGGTTTGTCCAAATTTGACCCAAAGTTGGGTTGAAACAACCAAGTGTACCCAATCCCTAACCTTAAACCCAACCCTACCCATAACTTTTCCTTAAAATCAGGGGGTGATAGGTGAATAACATTGATGTTTAAGTACTTCACGCTGGTTCTAAGCCTAAACTTGACATAAACTGTAAACTTGTCCCTCGAATCTGATTGGTTGATTGGAAAGTTGATCCAGGATCAATGAAGATGTTGATCCAGGAGCATGTGGTACTTGGCAAAATCATGTCCACCGGTTAAAGGTACAAGCAACTTCACATTGTTATAATTCACAGACAAAAAGTTGATATACAGTATTTATTTAACTAAAGTTGGATTACCTCAATATCCATCCAAGAAAAGCATGAAACCCAATCTAACACTGTAAGCGAGAAGCATGATGTGACAAAACTAGCTTGCTCCCAATGTAGTCACCATCAACAAGCCTCACTGGACTTGAAGTGTAGGCCATTCTGTATCATAATGGGAACAATATAGTTTTGTTGCAATGCACTGCTTGCTTGCAGCATATGAATGGTGCAAAAAACAAACAAACAACTTTACTTGCATTCAAAGCTACAACATCAAACTAATAAAAAGAGATCAAGGACAATTTTCGGTTTTCAAAAACACCTAATTTGACAAATTAAAGTATAATTTAACAAATTAAAATGGTTTAGAGCAAAAATAAAAACAACATAACATCCAGAAAGCTAGATTTCAAAGCATCAAATCATCTCCGTTGTCATATTTAATGACCTAAATCATGAACTAACAATCATCTTTCTTTTTTTTCTTTTTTTTACGAGGTTACACTTCTAAGAGACATTTTATGGTCGAGTCTATAGCACTTGAGATAATGGTAAAGTTTAAATGTTGAAGGCCATTGGAATTGGGGAAACTTGAGGGCTGAATACTTTTGAATTGAATACTGCGAGCTAGAAGGAATCAGAGCGAACACACAACGTTAGCATTATTACATTTCAGCTGCCATCTTTACACAAAGAAATTAAGGGGACGATTTACAGTCACGGTGGTTTCAGATTTACGCCAGAAGCCAATTGGTCTTGGGCTGGTAGTGCAAAAAGCTATTTTTACTCAAGCTAATGTTCAAGTGTTGTTATTTTTTATCAAAATAGCCTCACAAAAAATAATAATAACAAAAACATGTGATAAACCAGCACCAAGCCATACCAGTTTTCTATTTTCTACAAGAGAGAAAGACAGAAAAACAAATGTCACAAAGAGGATCACATTTTATCCAAAAAGCATTGAGAAAACAAAGCATATTTTTATGACCATTAACATGTTTTTTTGCAAGAACATTTTCACTTCCCAAATTGTCATTACCATAATGTTTTTTTTACTTTAATATTGTATACTTCAACTCTTTTTTTTTTTTTATTGTTAAATCACCAAAAATTATAGTTCATACCACAAAGCTTCCATAATTTATAAATCCGTTACAATATATATTTTTTGATAATGAGAATAGGGGAATGTTATGCTTAATTCGTATGAAAATATCCCAATTGCAAAACATTTGTTTAGTCTAAAATAGACTTTTATGAAATTTTCTCAAATTTTCTTTATGCAGATTTTGATTTTGAGGTGACATGTGACCTGGACATGTTCTTGATAAGATTTCATGAGATTCACCCTGAAGTTGCATTTTAAAATTATAACTGCCATGGCAAAACATCCCATTAAATGTTCTTCTAAAATAAACCATTGTGGACCTGACAAAAAAAAAAAAAAAAAAAAAAAAAGAATCCAGGATTAAAAAAGGAGGAAAGTAAAACAAGAAGCATGATATGTATGCCATTGCTGAGGCTCGTTCTGCTCTATCCATCTAGAGAAAAGGGCAGACGGATCACGTTAAGAGGGGAAGAGGCCAGATCGCACAGCTGAAGTGCTGTTACTGGCTAACCCCAGACTTCTGCTGCACCGGGACGGGAAGGGGAGCGCAGAGCAGCCATTACTTTTTTAGTGATTGTAAAAAGTTCCAAAGGTCTTTGATCACCTGAGAGAAAGAGAGAGAGAGAGAGAGAGAGAGAGAGAGAGAGGGAGGGGGAAAAGGATGAGTTGGTGAAGCTGGAACGGAGTTTCTCTGATGTAGCGACTCATTTGGATGCTTAATAATTAGAGCTGTGTGAGTCAGTTTGGATGAAAAACTCCACATTAGCGGTGCGTCTGGGGTATAACTACAGCGCCGAGCCCAGAGGAAGGGGGTGCAGTCCTTGTACATACCAAAGGGTATGACTAGTCCCTCTCTTTGACAAAGACATGTCTCACACCTCTTTGCCTGCTGTGCTCCCAAAGCCGTTTCTGCTCGAAAACACGCTCTCACACACACATGCACATCTGAGAGGACACCTGCGCAGCAAAGCCTGACACGCTCCAGCCTTGTTTCTTGAACCGGCGCAATGCATCAAATAGCTCATAACTCATTACCGACCAAAACATGTAAACTCCGTTCCAAATCCTAGTGAGTTGCCTACTTTCTAAAGGCGATTTCGCACCGGAGGAACCTTTTCTTAGTTCCTAGAACTATTGGCGGAAGGATCCGGAATTTGGTGTGTTCGCAGTTCGCACCTCAGGAACTGGGAAAGATTTTAGTTCTAGGAACTCCTTTTTGGAGGAACAAATTCAGCTCCTACTTCAGAGCAGCACTATAGTGTGCACTGATTGGCCGAACGCATGCCATTTTGTAAAAAGCTGTGTAAACACACAGATTATCGCCTATATATTTACTCCAGAAACTTAACTCTACGAACATGGAAAACAACCTTTATGCTCTTAACTTTGAGGGATCAAGCGAAACATGATTATGTATTTCTCCTCAGCTAGCAAAACTGGACATCAATCACACAGCATATGCTAATAACTTTCCATTAATGTCTGTCTACATTCGATGTATAAATAATATGGCTGTCAAACGATTAATCGCATCCAAAATAAAAGTTTGTGTTTACATGATATGTGTGGGTGCACTGTGTATAATTATTTATATATAAATACAATCACATGCATGTATATTTAAGAAAAAAATATAATTTATATATAAAATATTTATTTTTATATATAATATAAATTATATATAAATCTATATACAGTATATATATGAAGATAATTCTTAAATATACAAGCATGTGTGTGTATTTATATATAGAAAATAATTATACAAAGTGCACCCACATATATTGTGTAAACACAAACTTTTATTTTGGATGCGATTAATCGCGATTAATCGTTTGACAGCCCAAATAAGTAAATAATAATAATAAAGTATTGGACAGGACTGTTAGACAGATCATAAACGAATGAACACGGAGAATGCAAACATTGTGTGGCTCTTTGCGTTCTCAGCGCCATCAAAATAAAGGTCTGCCGCGCCGTCAAAATAAGAGCGCGGCTTACGTCACTTCAGAGGTCCTACTGGTGGCGCGAATGCAACCAAGAAAATGTTCCTAAGGGAAACAAAAGTTCTTGGGGAACCACCCTGGTGACTAGATCGTAGGACTACCTGGTGTGAAAGCCCCTTAAAGGAGAACTCCAGTCAATTTTAACATTAAGCTCATTTTTTTGTTCATATGGAGTGCTGTCAGTACAGACAAAAACGACAAAAATCGGTGTTTCCTCCACAGTGTTATCCTCTTTTTAAAATTTGCACCCTGTGGGCAAGTTCTAAACCTGCTTTTAGCCTCTTAACATCCTTGATTTGTCCTTACGAGTGCACAGCCATGTGAGTGGTGTTATTGAGAGTGACCATGGTCAATAACACGGTGTAGGAAACACAGATTTTTGTCTGTATTGACAGCACTCCAAATGTACAAAAAATGAGCTCAATGTTAAAATTGACAGGAGTTCTTCTTTAAGGCAGCATTGTAACTGAAAAGGAGCCTCATAAGTGATCTGGAAGCACCTTCATAGGCAGCATAATGCTCCTCAAGGGAAGCACATAAGGGACTCGACTCAATAGAATTGATGATAGGCATAAAAATACAAAACACACAATTATTGGATGAAATAGTCCATTTTAATAGATTTACTGACAATTTTAGGTCTTTAATCAAATGTGGATATATTTATAATCAACACTTAACACATTTACCATCTACTGGAATAGAGGTTTCTTCCTTAGCGTGTCTACTATTCTAGCATTCTAGGTCGACCGATATAATGCCAAGGCCAATAATATCGGCCATACGTTTTTCTGCAGGGCCGATTAGTGTCAGAAGCAGGACTTTTATTTTGACAGTGCTGAGAATCGGTGCCTGCAGACGTGCTGGAGATCCCATTCTCCATCTTCATGTGTTTACTGTCTTTATTTAACAGTTCTGTCAAACAATTAAAATGCAAACACTGTAATACTTTTGTTGGCATTCAACAAATATGCAAATTTGAAACAAGTCAATGTAGATTAAACTGTTAGATCATCTTGTGTGCATAGCTTGCATAAAAACGTATGTATTTTGTGTTTGATGGTCTGTCTATGCAAAGGATCAAAGCCGTGTGAAATGCGGACAAGATAGTTCGGCTCTCACTTGACGATTATTTAATTGGAGAAATTGTTATGCACGTGTAATTTAAATGATCTTTTAATTAAACAGTAGAACTCGTATGATCTAGAAACACATTTTTAGGGGCAATGTGTTTTAATGCGGTAAAGTGTAGCTGAGACAAATAATATAAACCTTGAAGTGTTCTTAATTAAAAAAAAATATATGCAAACAAACAAAATATTAGGGTACCATTGGTACCACTCACACTGACATTTGCACTCTCTCGTTAGTAATTCATCCTGAGAAAATAGGAGCTACAGCAGACATGATAGTGCACTTTACTTAAAAGAGAGATTTTTCTCGTTTGACCCAAACGTGGCCATTTGTGAGGGCTGCTTTACACTACCGCAATATTTTAGGTCAACACCCAGCCTGACACATTCGAGTGCAAAAAAAGCTCTAGACTAAAAGAGACAGCGGGAGAGGAATGAGTGAACGAGGGATTTAAATCACAGCTAAAGATGTCAGGCGTGACAGCTCCCTCCTGTTCTTTTGAATGCCAAGAGGTCAATCAGTACATATTTCATTCGCTGATAAAAAAAGAGAGAGCGGCAGGAAGATCTCAGTATGCCACCCCCCAACCGGCCCAAGACTGAAGATGTTAAGGCCTAAAATATACTCAAATCTAGTATGTGAACTTAGATACGATTATTTCACATAGAGTTTTTAGCTAGCTACCTGAATAACAAGAATAACATTTCAAGGCAACTGTATCGCTCACTTGAGGTTTGTTTCATCACAGTAATGGTAAAATTGACATAGTTAAGTATGCCTTAAATTTCTACTTTACTTTTAACTAGGGCTGTCCGTTTAACGCGTTATTAGCGGCGTTAACGCAAACCCATTTTAACGGCGTTCATTTTTTTATCGCACGATTAACGGTCTTTGACGTTTTTTTTTTTTACATGCTTTTGCAACAGGACGCGGCATGCGCTGCGCTATGAAACCCATTCATTTCAATGGCTTGCGCCGCACGAGGACGTTTTGTTGCTTCGTCGACCAAAGCACAAGCGGAGCTAGACCAGAAACAAAACAGGCACAACGCCACACACACTTGTTTGGGTTTGCGAGCCGGCCAAATAGTTGATTAACGTTACGTTTTGAGTAGATGACGAGTGCAAGACGGCGAAATGGATGGCAATGAGATTCTAAATGGAAATTTTACTTTTAAAAATTTGCCAAATGGTTCCATTGACAAGACCAAAGTGATCTGTGTGTTTTTTCGTTGTAAACTGAGCGATCATCATCGTAGCACGTCCAGTCTGAAATACCACTTAATTATGGCCAAGCACACACACACACAGATGATGCAAATTCTCCGCCCCCTCGCCAATATCAGGACCTCGTCAGTATTTCTTTCACCCTTTTATTGATGGACAGTGTTACATTGAGAGATTATTTGCTCCAAGTGAGAATTTCAGTGTGAAATTGAACATGTATATGCTAATGTTTTTTTCAATAAAAAACATTTGCGCAAAGCAAGCCGATCCACGTTTCCATGTTGATGAGAGCATTAAAATAGGAAAAAAATAATGGGACAAAAAGAAATCAAGAGATATTTAGAATAGATAAAAATGTGCTATTAATCGTGAGTTAACTATGACATTAATGTGATTAATCGCGATTAAATATTTTAATCGTTTGGCAGTACTACTTTTAACGTAAGAGGAGATACGGTCATTTGTAACTTGAATGTGCGAGGCTTTCTGTATCTTAGTATCTGAGTTTTTGCAGAACTACGCCCCCTCTGGCGACAAGCGAAACTGCAACCAGAGGTGTGCGTGCTCATTGACCACACGCACACACATAATGTCTTTAGAGGTAATGAAGTTATAAATCTGCAAGATATTTTAAATATATGAAAGGAAAGGCATTTGAGTAAATTACACACGTATGTGTGTGTGAGGGGAAAACTGTGTGGGTTTTTTGTTTCCATCTATCTCCACATTGAACTGTTTTATGTGCTTACTGTATCCACTTATGATTGTATTATTGAAACACGTTCATGAACAATATAATTATTACTTTGTATAGGACCCGTTTGAGCCCTAGAGCAGACCGGAGATCTCTCCATTTGTTGAAAGCCTTCCCGATGTTGACTCTCGTCTTATTCCGACGCCTGGCACTAGACAAAAGTTGTATTTTCTTTGTCTTACGTGGAGTTTGGCGTTGGGGTTTGGAATGAAAAACAAACCGGTCTCTTTGAATCCATCTTCTACTTTTGTGGAAAGTTGACTAAAGTTTTGTCGCTCGAGTTGTCTTCGCTGATACGGAGAATGGCGGCGAATACACAAACCTGCCAGACATGGCCAGGCGAGCGTGAACACGCATGACGTCTCAAACCCCGTACCGAATCCCTCTTATTTATTTTACTGAACAGGATTATAGAGGCGATCGCAGTGATCAGAGAAGGGCTCATTCAGCCCATCAAGAAGCATGTATGGGTAAGAAAAACAGGTATTTTTAACTTGATATGTTGCGCAATGCACCTTTAAATAAAGAGTGTTGATGCATTTTGTCAGGGTCATACGTGCATTTTATGCAACGCAAGAACCCTAGAAATACTCCAGCCATAGGTTGACAGTGCTTCGTGAAAAAAGCGATACTCACTTGTTTATCAGAGATCTTGAAAGAGCTTCTAGCGTAGTTCTCGAACTTCTGTTCCGTCTTTGGAAGTGGCCTCCCCTGTTTCAGAGAAACATATTTTTGCAGAAATGAAATGGCCCTTTTTCATCACTTGTGTCTCTCTGCTAAGTGTTGAGCTCATCCTGACTCGGAGCCAGAGCGCTGCTGCGGTGATGAACAGGGTGAGTCGTTGGGTTTTGGACGCACTTCAGTGAACTCGCATTTTTTTGTGGCCTTCACAGTAATTCCATTTCCCCTTATCTACAGCAGACCGAATGAAATCACACGGACACAAATCATCATATCTGCTCAACACAATCCATCCGCTGTATCCTTCCAGTTTCAAACTAGATATTACTGCACACAACATACTAATCATCTCGTTTCTGGAGTTTCTAAAAAGTGTGCAGCAGAGGTGTCTTAAAGGAATATTACAGGTTTTATTTATTTTTAACCTGCTTTCGATAACTAACCACATACAATAAGTGACCCGTCCCTCAGTATACACAGACACTACTGTTCAAAAGTTTGTGTCAGTAAGAGTATTTTAAACAAATGTATATTTTCATTCAGCAGGGATGCACAGAATTGACTAATTATGACAGCAAAGACGTTCTTTTTATTTATCTATTTATTTAGAAAAAAAGGGACAGTTTACATTAATTAACATTCTTAAATGTTAACGTACCCAAATTAGCCCAAAGGCTAGTTTTCATTGGTAGTCCCTTTGCCAGATGTTATTAGGCTCTAAACTAGAGGAAAGAGTTAAACATTACAACAATACACTACAACAGTCATAAAACATAAAACTTTTAAAAATATATGCTGTTCTTTTGAATCCTGATTTATTTTTTTATCACCGTTTTCACAAAAATATTTGCAATATTGATTATAAACCAGCATATTAGAATTATTTCTGAAGGATCATGTGATGCTGAAAATTCAAAACAGAATAGAAAATAGTTATTTTATATATTTCACCATAGTTCTCATTTTACTGTATTACGTAAATGCAGCTTTCGTGAGACTTCTCTCAAAAACGTTCAAAGAATTTTACTGACCCCAAACTTTTGAATGTCAGTGTAAATGAAGCTAGCGAGAGAAGAGTTTAGCATATTTAGCCCTCAATCGGGTCATGGGGTCTATATGACCCCAATCGACTTTTACTTAATAAAAAAAAGGTTCCCTTCATCTCAGTGGAATACGATTTTGTGACTTTTTATACATTATCTATCTATACACACACAAAAGAACTGGGCTTGATTCGGTTGTTCTGAAGGTATGTAAAAAATTGTTTACACTTTTGGTCTTCAGGTCAATATGACCCCACATTGAAATGAATGGAAAATGTGAAAAAAACTAAATATATTTTCTTCGTGTGTATAAAAAAACGACATAAATCTGAAAATTTACACACAGAAATGAAGGCCTAGTACTAAAGCATAAATGCAATGTGTCATAAAAAAATATTTCATATGCAACCTAATGGTGTAGTTGAGGAATTGTGTGGTATATGGATACAAAAGTACTTTATATCTCCGAAAAACACAGCATTAATGAATAGATGAGAAGTAAACAAAAAAAAATTATATATTATTTGTATGATTAAAAATGTACATTTTTTTTTGTACAATTACTCAATCAATTGTTGGGGTCGTATAGACCCCGAAGCCCAGAAGTGTAAACAGGCAATGAAAACTATTTGAAGGTTGTTCTGTTTCGTTTAGACAAACTGAGGAGTGAATCAAAACTATGGTCTGGTACTCAATCACACATGCGGTAAATAATTATTTAGTTAACGGGGGGATCCTAATTATAGCATTATAGCATGTAACTGTCATGGTGTGTAAAAGAATCAGTATCAGTTTCAAAAACATACCGACGCCATGAGAGACTCAATGATCAGAAGGGAGGATGTGAGGATGAAGAGGGTCAGTGGTCCTGAGTGAATGAGAGGAAATGAGCAGGTGGACTCAGAAAGGCTGGTTAATCCCCATATGCTGATGTCATATAGCTGGTCATTCCCCCTCCGGCCTTCGACTCAAATGCCTCATTAACATCTGACCATCTCATCATCTGCTAAGTCAGCGTACTTACTGCTAACACACGACATGCGTGCGTGTTTGTATGCATGTCAGGCCTAAAGTATGAGTGTGTGATTACGGAAAAGCGATGCGTCCACAGTTAACAGAGAGACAAATTTTAACGTGGAAGGGAATATGAGGAGTATTCGTACCTCTTTAGATGCTGATGTAAGTTTGTCTTTGACCTCACTAAGGCTGGGAGTGCCGGGACTCTTCCCAGAAGGTCCTGCTGGAGACTTGTCTTTTACTTTCTGTGGTGTCTGTAAATAAGAAATATGCAAATCCTGTTAATCTAGACACACAGCAAAGTGTCACACATCTCAAGCTAGATTTTGACAACAAAAGGCATCCATAAACTCGTCCTGTTAACCATTAGTCTAGTCTGGCCCACAGACCTCTGCACTAATGACGGCACCCTTTGACAAATTTAGAGGGGTACAAATGATCCTTTTATTGCTTCCATGCAGGAGAGAACAAGCCCGAAGCTCTTAGATGTGGCGGTGGGACGGCCGCTCTGCCAAGAGGAGGAATAAACCATTTGTTTTCAGTGACAAGACCCTTATTTGCAACACCTTTGTGTTATATAGCAACTTAACAACTTAATGTGTCAGTGTCACACAATTTATTTGCTTATACTGTATATTAATGCTATATTGCATTATATAGTTATAATATATTAATGTCCTTTAATACAATAAACAGGGATGCAGCGAGGAACTAACATCACATTTCAGTCATTTTTGCAATTTACTGACATTTCTGTAAGAAACTGATTTCAGAGCTTCCAAAGCACTATATAATGACAATGGATCTATATATCACTATCAATCACACACACATATATATATATATATGTATGTGTATATGTATATATGTGTATATGAAGAGTTCAGATGCAAAAGCCTCTAAGTGCCATTTGAAATTTTCTTCTAAAATGGTCATTTTTATTAAGCTTGTATATTTAAGTTCAGTGATTTCACTTAAATGGCAATGACAATTAACTATTACTTGTTATTTAAGTGAAATTACTGAACTTAAATATACAAGTTTGATAAAAATCATCATTAAAGAAGAAAATTTCAAATGGCATTTAGAGGCTTTTGCATCTGAACTCTTCATATATACAGAATCCGTTCCCTTTTGAAGATCCAGTCGTGTCTGACACCTGAATATGCTGAAGTTTGTTTTTGGATGAGCGAGGAGCATTTTTCTTGAAACCCTCTCAAACAACATGTGGGGATGTAGAGGTTGTTTGATTATTTTTATTTTTTTTGGTTTTCTGACCCCAAGACTCAAGTAATATCTGCAATTCTCCATCTGTGATCCTTGAAGAGTCTTTGGAGACTCAAACTTTCATCCTCACCGTCCATTAAGGCAAAATAGACACACGTCCTCTTCCTGGCAGAATCATAACATCTTTAGTTGATTATAACTTCTTAATTATTGCCCTGATGGTCAAAATGGGAATTTTCAATTCTTTAGCTATTTTCTTACATCCACTTTCTATTTTGTGAAGCTCAACAATCTTTTGATGCACATCAGAACCATGTTCTTTGGTTTTATTCATTGTGATGGATGATTCAGGGAATTTGACCTTTGTGCTTCCTCATATTTAAACTCTTTGAAACAAGAAGTCATAGCTGGACAATTTCATGTTCCTAGTCACCCTGGTGTGCTTAGAAAATGAAATATTAATGGGAATGTACTTCAGAGATATTTTTCTCATAAAACATTCTAGGGGTGCCAACAATTATGGCCAGAGTGTTTTGGAGAAAAACATTTATTTCATAGTGTGATTTACCCCCACTTTCAATTCTTTTGCTTCAATGAAAGGTTAGAATTTTGCCAATTTTTTGAATGGAAGATCAAAAGGATAAACAATGCAGAATTATTTTTTACAGACAGTTTTCATCATATTTACCAGGGGTGCCATTCATTTTGACCATGACTGTATATATATACTAGGCATGTGCCGGTATCAAATTTTCATGCTGCGGTTAATTGATGAGCTTTTATCACGGTATACGGTATTATCACGATATTTTAATGAAATTATATTTTAATGCTCAAGAAAAACAGATGCATTGTGGGTCTCTAAAAAAAACTCAACTTGTATCACAATGTGTAATTGTGATTTTCGAAACATATGGTAACTAAACCAAATTGTTTAAAGTTTAGTGACAACATGTTACAATGACTGGTAGGTTACTGTTTGTATTATTCAATTAAATTCTTGGATTTGATTTCAGTCTTAATTCAATATTGACTCATTTGGATAAATATTAGGTAGGCCCCAGTCTGTTAATGTTTCTCAAGAAAAAAAAAAACCTCACATAATGCTGTAAACATACAGAGAGAAATTAAATATAATATTTAGCAAAATATTCCTTGATATTTTTTTCTAGTCAACTAATGTGCTGGTCATTAAATGGCTTTCCTGAGGTAAATGTAACGTTTTGTGACAAAACTGTTCTCCTGCAGTGTTACTGACCTTTTTCCATGTTTGAAAACACTGATTGATCGTTATTATGTACAAGTAAATATACCTTTCGGTAAGTTATGCTGTATCTTTAAATAAAAACGAAAGTAACATGATGATCGGTTTACTTGAACTGAGGAGCAACGATCTGTGATCAGAAGTGCTGATTTATCAACTTCAATTTATCAATAACAACTTTCATATCAAAAGTAACCTGCTCTGTCTAGTCTGTCGGTGTCAGTGTCCTCTTTGCCCTGTGATTTTTCTCTGTGGGAGAGCGTGTGAAAAGTGTCAAATGCGTTAAGCGCCTTTCAGACAGGACGCGGAATGCGCGACGCTGCGGCCGCTTGGTTCAACGTTGCCCTTCAGATAAAACGCGATTTGCCATTTTACAAATAAAAAGTTGAACTATTTTGAACTTTAACACCGGCGTGGTCGATGCAGGTCAACGCAGCAACAAAACAACCCTGCGCGTCGCGCGCGTATTCCGCGTCCTGTCTGAAAGTCTCAAGCTTGAGTCTAAAGCGGAATGTCTGAGAGTTTGGCAGCCCTGCGGGGATAAATCGTCGGGAGTATTCCGCCATGCTTGATCCATGTGAGGACTGTTTACATTAGACTAGTGCGCACTGCTGCATGCACACAGTGCTTATACATAATGGGGATTGTTTACATCAGAGTGCGCGCGTGTTCTGCGCAGCACGCAGTGTATGAGCGGTTGAAGGAAAATAAGCAGCTAATGCGCGCTTTAAAAGTCTAAATTCGAATCTATTATTTTTCACGGTATTTTGAAGAGCCCGCGATAACAATATCGTGCATATTCATTACCGCGATTTATCGCATTACCGAATACCGGCACATGTCTAATATATACACTGTATATTAGGGGTGTAACGTTATTAGAACCGAACCGAAAAAAAACTATAAAGAACACGCCCTGCCCCGCCCCCTGCTACCCCGGCCCCGCCCAGCCCGGCTCAATGGACCTCATGTCTAACGATATTCGAACCGTACCGAAAAACCACAATACCGAACTCACGATTCAAACCGAACCGTAGACAATTTTTCATGAAACCACTGTTTAAAAAAATAAAATAAAAACAAGCAATTTTAGCTTTCTAAACCAAATCGAACAGAGACGTCAAAACCGTGGGAAATCCGAACCGTCAGTTTTGTGTATCGTTACACCCCTAATATATATACATATATTACATACATGCATATATATAACATTTAATATCCGAGAACAAAGTTCACTGACCAAACCCCCTCTTTATTTATTTGTGTTGTTCATTTCAAGTACATGCGTTTATGCCTTTATCTATTCCTTTTTAATATACATTTTTTCTCTTTCCCTCCTTTTTTTTCCCTTCTTTATTCTCAAATTTTGCCTTATATTTGTCAACTGTATATTAAGATACACGACAGATAGAGAGGCACAAAACCTCACACCAACACACACTTCTCATAAATCACGTGTAAAACCAAACTTTGTTGTTTTAGACTTGTTTTGTTTTTACAATGTTGTCTCACTGCTATGTCTGACATAGTTTAAAAGAATTCAGGTCTTCTCGGATCCTGAAAAAAATGGCTACAGTGCATATCGCTCATAATGGCAAAGACGGAATCATAAAAAGGTTCAGGTTTCGGACAGAGTTGACGTATGAAGTCATTTGATGTATCAAGTACACACAGGTGCTCGGATGGCTGACGCGGTCTGTGTTGGTGCTTTAATGGTAAAATGTTTTACGTGCTCACTGATGCTCTGTCATCGTATAGAAGGACTGAGATATTGTGAGGGCAAATGTCTGTATCATTACAACTTCCTAAAGAATCTGGTGTCCACAATCCAAAAAAGCGGGTCTGTGTCTGCTCATGGGGCACAGGTGTGTGTCCAGCTTTCAGCAGAAACATACTGTCCCTCTGCAGACTGATGTAAGCGCACACACACACAGAGTGGCCTGTCCATGCATGCAGCCCAGCCAAGAATCCACACTGATTGCAGGGTTACATTGATGGACAGAGCCTTGTTTTTCACAGCGAGCGAGAGAGAGGTAGTAGAGGGAAGAAATGGAGATGGAAAGCATGAAGACTTCTAACATATGAGATTAAATGAATGCTTTAAATGACCTCAGAGCATTTTAAAGCGAACCCAACAGAGACCATTGTGGAAGGAAAGCTAAAAATGGATACCGAATTCAGTGTAGAATAAACTAAATCTCTAAAAAAAAAAAAAAAAATACTAATTGAAATAAAAAATATTCAATGAACAAAACGAAAATGAGATATGTTGATATGGTAGATGAAATAAAGTAAGTTGAAGTACTAAAAAAGTACTATTCAGGTAAACATCCCTCAAGAATACTCCAGAACTTTTGGTCGTGCGAGATGAAAGTGGAAAGTGAGAGAGGAACATAAAGTAAAGGACAATGTCTTCCAGTCTTGCTTCGTAAGAACCAAATAAATAATCCCCTTTTCCTCTGTAGCGATTGACGAGCATGCGATAGATCAAAAGGTATCAGATTAAAGGACAAATGCACTCACAATACACACACACAGGACTGGCAGAGGGCCAGAGAGGCCCGGTGTGGTGCAGTCATTATATAGCAGGGCGTTTTTGTGTGTTGGGAAAGGACAGCTGTAGAGTTAAGACAGCTGACAGACAGAGAGTGCAGCGAGCTTTTTAATCTACGCCAGACACTGATTACAGATGCCAGGGGACGGCACTTAATCATTAGCACGCTAGCATTTGATGTAATCGGCTGTCCTCAATACACACACACACACCACACAACTTCAAAACTTTACTGACCTTTAACAATCAGGGACGTTATGAAGGATCCTGTGCATTGTTCACCCGCTCTTTTACACTAATGTAGTTTTTATGTATGTTACGACAGGTAACCGTCTCAGCTGCCCAATAGGAATCGACTTTACAAGCGTTCATATAGCAGTCATCTCAACCTCTTCTCTGCGCCCATTGTCAACTTCTAACGTACTCTGCCACACGTATAACAAGAGACTCATAAAACTTGACTCAGCAACTATTTATAATGATTATGTTTTAAGTAAATAAAGTAGCTGTCAAACTTTTGAGGTCGGTAGATCTGCATTTATTTGATCGAAAATACAGTCATATTGTGAAATATATTACAATTTAAAATAATTCTTTTTTTTTTAATTGGGGCTGTCAAGCGATTAATCGCATGCAAAATAAAAGTTTGTGTTTACATAATATATGTGGGTGCACTATGTATAATTATTTTATATATATAAATACACACACATGCTTGTATATATTTAAGAAATATTTTCATGTATATACTGTATATAGATTTATATATAATTTATATTATATATAAATATAAATATTTTTTTTCTTAAATATACAAGCATGTTTGTATTTTATATATATATATATATATATATACATACAAAATAATTATACAAATTGCACCCAAAATAAATTAATGGCATCCAAAATAAAAGTTTGTGTTTACATAATATTTGTGGGTGCACTGTGTATAATTATTTTATATATATATATATAAATACACACACATGCTTGTATATATTTAAGAAATATTTTCATGTATATACTGTATATAGATTTATATATAATTTATATTATATATAAATATAAATATTTTTTTCTTAAATATACAAGCATGTGTGTATTTATATATATACAAAATAATTATACACAGTGCACCTACATATATTATGTAAACACAAACTTTTATTTTGGATGCGATTAATCGTTTGACAGCCCTAATTTTAATATATTGTAAAATGTGATTTTTTTTCCTGTGATGCAAAGTGTCAGTATCACATGATCCTTCAGAAATCCTTCTAATATGCTGATTTACAGCTCAAGAAACATTTCTTATCATTATCATGTTGAAAACTGCTTAAGATTTTTGTGGACTTTTTTTTTTTCAAGATACTTTGATGAATAGAAAGTTCAAAAGAAAAGCATTTATTTGAAATACTATTTCGATTAACACTAGAAATGTCTTTACTTGCATAAAGATTCAGCGTTAAATATGTTTGCCCATCAAAATAAGCTATCACCTGTCCAATTTTCACTCAAGTCAGTAGAAATGCAGGTGAATCCACAGATCATTATCTTGAAAAGAGGTAGACCAACCACAATTTGGATTACACAATTATAAAATTGCCAAAAAATCAGCCAATCAGATTGGAGACTGCCATTTTGAGTAAGCTTTCGCCAAAAGATGGTCAATGAACAGTCTGTGTTGTTCAATGGCTGAGGTTGACTAACAAATCTAAACCAACTGGACGGACATTCTTGTATACTTTATGACAGCCATTCACAGATGAAAGCATCTTACAGTTATGTCCCGTACTATTACACTAAACTTGTTTCGACACGCAAATACAGTCTTACGAAGCATTCCACAACTGTTCGAGCGTGTCATTGTGAAATGCAAGCGATTTCTCTTCATGCGTTCAGATATACGGCACTCCGTCGGGAGAATGTAATGAGCCAGCCACGCTTTAATGACAGAGCACTCGGTTTCCGCTCGCCTCATGGCCTGCAGGGACGCCCAACAGCTCCAAGCCCTAATGATTTCTAATGGCAGAGGAGTGGCAACCGGAAACAAGGGTGTGGAAAACGACGGGTAGGAGTGGCCGACCGGAAGCAGAAGTGCAAAGAAGTGCCAGAGTTTGAGAAAGATGGGAGGATGTCTGCTTGACTATCTAATCTCGTAAGGTGTTTTAACAACCACCGTCTTGCACCAGAACGTAGCCATTATGGAATTAGCCAAAAGTAGGTGCGCGCGCCAAAACCACCTGAAAGGTCACCCTGAAAAGGTATATAAACCTGTCCTGAGGGTGTGTGTTCCAGGGGTCAAAGGTCAGACAAATTTAGTGGTGAAAGTTCAGTCTTGCTTTTGTTAGTCACCTGTCTTTCTTGTCACCCGCAAAAATCGCACAACTCGCCCTCTTGGGTAATTGGTCATTGGGTATGTGAAATCACTTTGGGATGTTTGAAAGGCAAAGCTTGATGGACATTTACGAGCATATTTCAATCCGGTATTTCCTCGAGCACTCAATGGAGCGTTACGGTGACCGCCCACTTTTTAATTGTTCCTGGTTCGGGATTTTTTGTTCTTTGTTCACCAGTGATTTTCTCCATTCAGGAATTTGAAAAGCTCTGTCATGAATTACTAAACGAAACAAAATTGATTTATTGTGATTATTTGTTTATTACATAAGTAACGGCCTTTGCTTTGGCAATAGAGAAAACGTATGGAGAAATTGAATGATATTCGTACTTCCCGATGGTTGTGCTTCTCACTGTGTGAGTCGTTCCTGTTCCAGTGTCTTTCTGATTCAGCACCACAATTACGGTGAAAAAAACTCGACATCAAAGAAAATTGAACGCCACACAACTGCGTGTGCACCGGTCAAAGGAGGAACATTGTTGATTAGAAGAAAGTCTGGTGAATGCATTTTAGTTTCCAAACATCGGTCACCCTGCCAGAAGGCCGTGGCTTTGAGAGTAGTTTGTTGTTTTAAAGCAGACCACAAATGACCCTTCAAATTGGACGTTTTGGGATTGTTGCCACCATCGGCTAGTTAAGTGCGCTTCACCATTTCCTTGCCTGGGAAAATACGATGATCCTTTTCCATGACCTAGAAGAAAACCTTTAAATGTCAAGAAGTTTTTCTCTAATGCGCTTGATTATTAAAAGTGTATTAAGTGCATTCACTCCAAAAAAAGACACTGAAATAATGGCTTTGGGATCGTCGTGTCCTCCCAAGACTGGGCGGTTTTCAGCTAATCACAGCTGGAGTTTTGAATGCTGTTGCACACATTTATCTTTAGGGGTACTGCTGGTGTAATTCACATTTTGCTTTTGGCGGTGTTGGTTGATCGTAAACAAAGACAGGCCGTCTCATTATCCTGTGGTTTTCTCTGTGAGGCTGCCATGTCGTCGGCGTTCTGAACTGCACCTGGACGTTTGGTAAGAATTACCTCTGGCATCCAACGGTAGACCTTGGCTTTTGTTTGGCACGGCTTGGCAATGGGATGTGAACTGAAAACCAAAACCTGAAACCCAGACGGCTCTTGACCCAAATGAACTTATCCTAAAGTAGATCCTGAAGACTATACTGTATGACCGTAAAAATGACTTTGAATCAAACTTGACTGTATTGGGATATTATACCATTACAATGAAATAAAATGACTCGTAGCATTATTGATTTGAAGATTTTAGTCATACCACCCACATACACTCACCTAAAGGATTATTAGGAACACCTGTTCAATTTCTCATTAATTCAATAACCTAATCAACCAATCACATGGCAGTTGCGTCAATGCATTTAGGGGTGTGGTCCTGGTCAAGACGATCTCCTGAACTCCAAACTGAATGTCAGAATGGGAAAGAAAGGTGAGCAATTTTGCGCGTGGCATGGTTGTTGGTGTCTGAGTATTTCACAATCTGCTCAGTTACTGGGATTTTCACGCACAACCATTTCTAGGGTTTACAAAGAATGGTGTGAAAAGGGAGAAACATCCAGTATGCGGCAGTCCTGTGGGCCAAAATGCCTTGTTGATGCGAGAGGTCAGAGGAGAATGGACCGACTGATTCAAGCTGATAGAAGAGCAACTTTGACTGAAATAACCACTCGTTACAACCGAGGTATTCAGCAAAGCATTTGTGAAGCCACAACACACACAACCTTGAGGCGGATGGGCTACAACAGCAGAAGACCCCACCGGATACCACTCATCTCCACTACAAATAGGAAAAAGAGGTGACAATTTGCAAGAGCTCACCAAAATTGGACAGTTGAAGACTGGAAAAATGTTGCCTGGTCTGATGAGTCTCGATTTCTGTTGAGTCAGAATTTGGCGTAAACAGAATGAGAACATGGATCCATCATGCCTTGTTACCACTGTGCAGGCTGGTGGTGGTGGTGTAATGGTGTGGGGGATGTTTTCTTGGCACACTTTAGGACCCTTAGTGCCAATTGGGCATCGTTTAAATGCCACGGCCTACCTGAGCATTGTTTCTGACCATGTCCATCCCTTTATGGCCACCATGTCCCCATCCTCTGATGGCTACTTTCAGCAGGATAATGCACCATATCACAAAGCTCGAATCATTTCAAATTGGTTTCTTGAACATGACAATGAGTTCACTGTACTAAAATGGCCCCACATCACCAGATCTCAACCCAATAGAGCATCTTTGGGATGTGCATCCCACAAATCTCCATCAACTGCAAGATGCTATCCTATCAATATGGGCCAACATTTCTAAAGAATGCTTTCAGCACCTTGTTGAATCAATGCCACGTAGAATTAAGGCAGTTCTGAAGGCGAAAGGGGGTCAAACACAGTATTAGTATGGTGTTCCTAATAATCCTTTAGGTGAGTGTATATGCAGTGTTGCTTAGTTTTTTCAAAGTAACTAACTTACCGGGGTTTGGGGCTTCCCTGATGTCCCCGCTTTCTTGTCTGAAGAGCCGTTCTGCTTATCTGCACTTTTCTTCTTCTCTGGGGTCTGGAAAAATGACCAAGAGAAAAATCCCAGGTTAAAATGAGCAGAAAAATTATTTAGCACGTGTCAAAGTCATGCTCAGCGTTAGAATCATAACAGCGGATGGTGTTTGTGAATTGAGTGATTCTGACGGCTTTGTTCTTCGGTGATGTAACGCAATACGCTTCTCGGATGTTTTTTTCAGTCAGGCTGTCAGAGAGCCGTGATGAAAGAGAGCAGTAATTTGTAGAAAACATAGCCCGTTTAGTCACGGCCTGAAGGGACCACAGGACACTGTCATAGCTCTACGTATAACTCTATACAGGAGAAAATAAAGATGAGCAAATGAAATCTGGATGGGAGAGTTTACACTTTCAATGAACCCTTTATGGATGTGTGTTATGGCATTATCCCTTAATGATTTTAATAATGCAAATTGTCTTATAACTAGTTGTATGGTTATAATTATTTACAGGAACAAAGTTAGCACATTATAGAATCTATAAATAGTATCTAGTATTGTACAGTCTAGTATATACCTATGAATTACGGATGCACCGATATAACATTTTGGCCGATACCGATACGATAATTCTTTATATTTAAAGGCCGATAACCGATATATCGGCCGATAAATCTAAATCCAATTTTTATATAATTTTTGAAAGCCTGATTGCAAAAACAAAAGTCTCACAATTAAAATCCATCCCCTAACACAATTGTAATGTTCTCATTATAATTTCATGTAGGCGATATGACAGCACATTTTGCACTTATATTTTCCTTTTTGATTCCAATCATATTTCAAGCAATTAAGATCAATCATGTTGAGCAGTGCGCATCTTAAGTGTCTCAGTTGTCAAGTGTCTAAGGAAATAATTCATTATTTATCAGCTTTTATATATCAGCCAAATTTATTATTATCGGGCCGATAACGATAACATAAAAATGAGCAAATATCGGCCGATACCGATATGGTGGCCGATATATCGTGCACCCCTACTATTAATTAAAATGCATTACACTCTTCAAATGTGCAAACATGAATAAGCATGCATTATCTTTAAAAAAAGATGTATAATCCCACTTTTCTCATATATAATGTGTAATTTGAATAGTACAGAGTTCATTGAAAGTGTTTGGGCCAGATGGGATAGAGGTAGAGAGAGAGTGTGAGAGGAGAAGAAAGCATTCAGGATGGAGGGATCAGAGGAGATGTGGTGTGTGTGTGTGTGTGTGTGTGTGTGACAGAAGTGTTCGTCTGTCGTTCCCCCTCAGGGCAGGAATCAGTCCTCACAGAGTAGGTATGTACCCGCTTTGATCTCTAAACACACATACAAAAACACACTGTCACGCTCTCTCAAACATTTAAATACACAGCAGGGTTATTGGGTTTTAGTAGGGTTGTCCCTTTCAGTTTAGTTCCCGAGTTTTAATGGTGTATAAATTGTTTCAAATGTGATTTTCACTAAATTACCATTCTGAAAGATTTCTTTGTTTTTTAAAGTCTCTTCTACTCTCTCCAAGGCTGCATTTATTTCATCAATAATACAGTAAAAACTGTATTATTGTGAACTATTATTACCCGTTTATGTTTGTAATTACATTGAAATGCAATTTATTCCTGTGATGCAAAGCTGTATTTTCAGCATCATTACTCCAGTCTTCAGTGTCACATGACATGATCCTTCAGACATCATTCTAATATGCTGATTTCCTGCTCAGAGTTTGTTCAGCTAGCTTTGTGCGACAGGCCACTGGATAACTTAGAAGAAATAACTTAGTATTTAGCTTTTGTCCATTTAGTGCCATTTAGTTTTTTGTTGCTTTTTTTCTAATCAAATTATTTAAAGCATTTTTAACTGACAGTTTCTGTAATTTTTTTATCTCAGATTCTTCAAAGTAGATAAAGAGCCACATGCAGTCATCAACGCATGTACTGTAGTAGAGGGGTGAAGTCATTCTGTCTGTGAAGCTTCCTAGTACACATGTGATCATTATGCTCCAGACAGATGAAAACAGACAGGCAAGCGAAGGACGCAAACAAGGCATGATAAAGATGGCACAAGACACTGAGCTTTTATAAATGTGACGTGAGAGAAGAAGAATATTTATTACATGAAGAGACAGAATGTAAAGTGCTCTATAAACTGATGGAGTAATAACAGGTGGAGATGAATGTGTGATGATGAGGGTCTCTCTCTCTCTCTCTCTCTGGCAGAGACTGGCACCTGCTGGTCAATCTGTTATTCCTTTGAATTCATTCAGGGCAGCAGTGGTAACAAGCAGCAGTATAACATACACAACTGTTCAAAAGTCTGGGGTCAGTAAGACATTTTTTGATTTATACTAAGACACTAAATTGATCAAAAGCCGTTTATAATGCTACTTATTAAGAAAGGCAAATAAATGTTGTTCTTTTGGCAACACAACTGTTTTTACATTTAACATTGATAATAAAAGAAATGTTTCTTGAGCAGCAAATAATTTCTGAGGGATCATGTGACACTAAAGACTGGAGTATAGATGCTGGAAATTCGGCTTTGAACTAAATTACATTTTAAGCAATATTAAAATAGAAAAACATTTTTTGAAATTGTAATAATATTTGTACAATATTATAATATTTCTGTTTCTTTGATCAAATAATAATAAATATGCGGTTTAAAAAATATTAAAAAACCTTAAAGACCCAAAACTTGTGAAAGGTCATGTGATGCACAGCATTTCCTCTTTCCTGATTCTATGAACAACAAGAAACAGTAAGACTCACTTTTTGAGGGGTTTTGATGAGGCTCTTTTCAACAGTCTTTTCTTCTTTGTCGTCATCCCTAAAAAAGGAAAACAAACAAAAATGCAGACGTTTCTTTAACTTTTATCAACGAATAAAAATAAAAATCATTCCTCTCAAGGTGGAATCTTATTCACTGAGAGTATAAAAAACTTTCAACAAAGCATAAGTTATAACGGAGTTCTCACTCTTCGTCATCGTCATCATCGTCGTCATCATCATCATCTTCCTCGCTGTCGTCGTCTTCATCAGAGTCCATTTTCAGCTTTTTCTAAAAAAGACAGAACACCAACATTGAAAAAAGAAAAAAAGTATTTTTTCCTTTATAAAGTTAAGCGTTCTGGTACTAAAATCTATTTGGAGGAGAGTGGCGAGCTGCTGGAGGCTAGAATAACCAAACTATATATTTTTTAAAAATATATTAAAGAAACACCAAGTCACTTTTCCTCTGTGGTCGCCCTACAGGTTGGAAGCGGAATTGTCGTAAATAATTTAGCTTACTGTCACACGCACACACACGCTCGCTGTTTATCCAGCGCCGGCTTTGGAATGAACGATGTCCACATACAAGGTAGACTATGTTGCATGATTTTATGAAAGTTTGATGTATTGCGACATCAGAAACGAAAAAACAAAACAAAATAACGACTATTGTAAGGCTTAACGTTAAGCAAGTCAAATTTGTAGTTTTCTTATGTCTCATTAGAACTACAGAAATGCGACCCAATCTGGCAATTTTACATGGAGTGGTTATAGCAGATATAGGACCGCAAAGCAGAGGCAGAAGTGCCTTTCACCCTGTTACGACTGGATGAACCACTGAAACGATTTTGGAAACTTTATTTTAAGCGAACGGGATGTCGCGATACTACATGCTACAACGGATGCTTCAGTAAAACATCATCATGCACCCATTCACAAAGACAAATGTTCTAGTTTATACTGTTTACTTTGACGTGTCCAGTGTTGAAAGACTCAAACATCTGTGACACGTCATGTCAAAAAATGGGATGGATTTATTATAAGCGAGACCATCACGAGTGCTAGCCTACTCAATTGCTTCCTCATGACACATAGCAACACAGCTAACCGTATTTGAACCTTTTATTGAAAGTAGCCTACTTTTAACTGTTAAGACATGCCTTCACAAGAGTGACTACTCACGCCGGACGTTTACAAAATATGCTTTATTTTTGTAATTCCACAACGGGCCACTAGTGTCACAGAAACTACATACTTCACCTTTAATCCATTAATTTGGGCCTTATCTTGCAGTTTTCAGAATTGTATAAAACCAAAATGCCAATAAAGGCTGTGCATTAAAGTACTTTTATTGTGAGTAAATCAAAACAACACTCCTAAACCCTAGTAAAATCACTATAAGTGACGGCCTCTCATGGCTTATTGCTTCAGTAAGAATTCTGGGATCATTTCAACACTCTGACAAAAGATTTCAAACAGGCTCTCTCTGAGTATCCCAGTGATGGCAAGCTGTTGCTTGTCTCAGACACTTATATAGTGCGTATTGAACAATGTGTCTCTTTATTGAGACTCTGTGAAAGTCAACCTCACAGTTTTCTGGACACCTAGTTAAGCCCTTTTCTTCATTTCGTATAAACAAAATAAAGAAAGTGCCTGTTTCTGTGATAAATACATTACAAAAAAAAATATATTACTCACTATTTTTGTCAGTTCAAATATCTAAACATTCTCAAATCAAGATACATTTACTTGAGAAACAGTGACTTAAGATATTAAGTCCTGTGTTCTGAAAAATGTATCAAAATTAAGCGACTTTAAGAAAAGTTAAGAATGATGAAGTGAAACAAGATTATTATTCATAGATTTTTATATTTCATATATTTAATACATTAATAATAAAAAAATATACTATTATAATTACTATTGTAATAATATAGACCCCACTGGTCAATAGTTTTCCTTGTTTTAAGTATAAATTCACCTCATTCTGATCTTCTTTTTTTTTTTTTTTTTTTTTTGAGAAAGCAAGACTTACTATCTTCTGTCATTTTTCTTTTTTTCTTTCAAGTAAATGTATGTTTATTTAAGAAAGTTTAGATATTTGTAATGGAAATACTAAGTAAGAAAATATTTTGCAGTGAAAAGGTATCAAACTATTTATATCTTATAGGAGTTTTATGCATAGAGGGGCCAAATTCTTCCTACTGTATATGTACCATTTAATATTTAAATAAAGTCCACTTATTTTACATCACATGTAATGTTGGGACAGTCATGATTTGGCCGTTTCTCATTGTAAAGTGAGATTAAAAACACAATCACCTGAGGCACTTTTGCGAGGGTCATGTTGGACGGTCTCTTCACTGGCGATGTGTTATTCTCCTCCTCTTCCTCATCCTCATCATCTGATTCCTTTACACCTGAAAAAAGCACAGTGATCTTCAGACATCAATAACTATGGTTTAAATAAATACAATACAGCTCCACAAGTCAAGTTTCCTATGACAAAACCAGTCTGACATACGCAAGTGCTGCACTTGTTTAATATCCGGAAAAGCTGAAACTGTCTGAAAGGCTGTGAAAACACATGGAAGCGATTATATCCGCGTAAATGGTGTCAACGTGGTGTTGGTTAATTCATTCTCAGTCCGTATGGAGAGTGCAGGGCCCTTTAGGACGGCTGGATTAGTCCCATGGACATCGCAACAGGTACAGAGAAACATTCCATCAGAGAGAAGAGTAAACAACAGAGGCAAAAGACACACTTGGGAAATCGCTCTTTCTGAACTCCCTGTTTTGAGTAGGCATGTTCAGTCCTAACAAATGTGGAAAGACAAAAAAGGTACTCACTGACGAAATGCTGACCGCTGATGTAGACCGGACCCCCTCCGGACCGCAGGCGAAAGGATACAGGGGGAGTGACCTCAAAACCTCCCAGACTTAGCTAGAGGGAACATACGGACACACATGTAGTTATCCAAACGGAGCGGAGAATGATCCCTTCGACAAACTCAAGTTTGAATTATGATCTACTGGCATCGTCGTCCATCTTTTTAGACAGTCTATGGAACTAACCGTTTAAAACATGTACTACTAAGCAAGGCTACTTGTTGTTTACATGGCAATTTTGTGATGATTAATGATTCCCACCACAAACAACCAAACAGAATTTGTTTCCCAGAAAGAATTCACGACTGGATTCCATGCCAGTACATCTAAGACAGGCCTAAAGCTAAATATCAGTACACAATTGCACAACTCGCGAAATACAAGCCACGGCCAAAAATTCTGAATGAACATTCCAGTACACCAGGCAACCAGATGTAAACAGCTGAGGGCGCGATGGTCTGCTTAATGCTTTAAATGACAGCTTTTTAAATGTTGTAATTAGGCTGAATGGCGAACAATCCCTCACGTCCAAAATCATCTCGGATGATCTGTTTCAACATAAACGCTGACTGATGAGTTGATTGTCTCCCGAGCAATCAAGACAAAAACCTTGTAATTGAGGTACAATTATCGCTTGACTCTTTTTTGAGTCAGATATCCTGGGGCGTTTTCTAATTTTGGGGATTGAATAACTAAATACATTCCACGATCTTACAGACTGGGTCAAAATTACACACACACAAAAATAAAAGGGCTTACAAACAGCAGCTATTCTCTAAACTCGATGACCACAAGGTGTGAAGAAGGTCAAAACGCCAACGTTAAAATTCCTGAAACTCCAGCCACTGCGATAGCCTAATCATACCACCGAGTTGGTATTTATCTGAACACAAATAGAGTTGCAAATTCTCATCGCACTGAGCCATAAAACATAGATTCCTCCCAGTTCTTTGGAAATGCTCATGTTTTCCATAGCTGATATAAAACAGAGGCGAATGTGTGCTGATGTCATGGAGAGCTGTCCTGATGATGCAACAATGGCCCAGCCCCTTCCATAAACAATCTGTCAATCACAACTTGACCAGCCTCGGCACAGCTGGAATTTTTATTAGACACATTCTTCCAATACCATAAAACACCCATAACAGGCATCCCTCCACAGTATAAATGCACATTCAAAGTGTTATTGAGGGCATAACAACACTTGGCTGTTTCAGTAAAACTAGCTTTAGAATAAGGTCCCATTTTAGTTAACGCTAGTCAATGCATTTACTACACATTTGTTACAGTATTAATTAATCTTTGATAATATCAGTAAATAAAAAGATAGATAGATAGATAGATAGATAGATAGATAGATAGATAGATAGATAGATAGATAGATAGATAGATAGATAGATAGATAGATAATGATATAGACAGACAGACAGACAGACAGATAGCTAGATAGCTAGATAGATAGATAGATAGATAGATAGATAGATAGATAGATAGATAGATAGATAGATAGATAGATAGATAGATAGATAGATAGATAGATAGATAGATAGATAGATAGATAGATAGATAGATAGAAAGTTTATAGATAATGATATAGACAGACAGCTAGATAGATGGATAGATAGATAGATAGATAGATAGATAGATAGATAGATAGATAGATAGATAGATAGATAGATAGATAGATAGATAGATAGATAGATAGATAGATAGATAGATAGATACTAGATAGATAGATAGATAGTAAGTTTATAGATAATGATATAGACAGACAGCTAGATAGCTAGATAGATAGCTAGCTAGCTAGATAGATAGATAGATAGATAGATATAGATAGATAGATAGATAGATAGATAGATAGATAGATAGATAGATAGATAGATAGATAGATAGATAGATAGATAGATAATGATATAGACAGACAGCTAGATAGCTAGATAGATAGCTAGCTAGATAGATAGATAGATAGATAGATAGATAGATAGATAGATAGATAGATAGATAGATAGATAGATAGATAGATAGATAGATAGATAGATAGATAGATAGATAGTAAGTTTATAGATAATGATATAGACAGACAGCTAGATAGATAGCTAGATAGACAGCTAGATAGACAGCTAGATAGATAGATAGATAGATAGATAGATAGATAGATAGATAGATAGATAGATAGATAGTAAGTTTATAGATAATGATATAGACAGACAGCTAGATAGATAGCTAGACAGACAGACAGACAGACAGACAGACAGACAGACAGACAGACAGACAGACAGACAGACAGACAGACAGATAGATAGATAGATAGATAGATAGATAGATAGATAGATAATTGCAATATTATTATTTCTGCGCCAAATAATAATTATTTTTTTGACCACAAAAGTTTTTAAGTAAAACTCTCTCAATTTAAAGAACCTTTGCTTTCACTTTATTTAAAAGGTTTCCTTGTAATTGAAAATTAAAGGGATAGTTCACCCAAAAATGAACATTTAAAGGACACTTCACATTACAGTGTTACTGAAGCTTTCTTACATTGGAATCAACAAAAAACAATCACTGAATGAATAACAGTCACCAAACTGCAGTAGAATAACTTTTTAATGATGCATACAGGACTGGAGAAATGACTACAAACAGAGGTTTATGTTCATGACATAAAACTCTATAGAAATGGGCCTAGCACACTTACAGAAGGCAGAACGGACGGCTTCAAGACAGCGAGAGTGATTTTGGTCGTTTTGCCATCGTAAGTCAATCCCTCCATCTCCACGGTGTGGAATTTATCCTCCGCCTCTGCACCCAAACACACCTGAGAACACAGGTGAAGACGTGCGCGTGAGAGAGGAAACTGCTCAGTTCATGTGAGGCTACAGGCAATTTAAATAACGCATCCATAATACTAAACGGTAATGAGTAAAATTCCCATTAGATCTGATCCAAGCGGATAATTCTACAGACACTATGACAATAATATCATAAAACTGTATGCAATGTTATAGAACAGAATGATATAAAACAGAATGTGATCAGACCAGAATAGAATGTGTTAGAATAGTCAAGCATTTCTACATGAGTTAAAGGAGTAGTTCACTTTTAAAAAAAACTTTTGCTGATAATTTCCTCACCCCCATGTCATCCAAGATGTCCACGTCTTTCTTTCTTCAATCGAAAAGAAATGAAGGTTTTTGATGAAAACATTCCAGTATTTTTCTCCATATAATGGACTTCAATGGGGTCCAAACGGTTCAAGGTCCAAATGAGAGTTTCAGTGCAGCTTCAAAGGGCTTTAACGACACCAGGCGATGAACGAACGAATCTTTTTTTGAGTCATTTGGTTAATTCAACGAACGAAATTAACAAAATGACTTGAAAAAAGATTTGTTCATTTTGATGAACGAGTTTGAACAGGAGAGTCATGATCGCGCATCACAGAACAGAGCAAGGCAAGCATTTGTGCTTATAAAACTTAAACTTTTTTATTTATTTTTGAAATGATCGATCGTTTCACTTGATAAGACCCTTATTCATCGTCTGGAATCGTTTAAAGCCCTTTGAAGCTGCACTGAAACTCTCATCTGGACCTTGAACCGTTTGGACCCCATTGAAGTCCATTATATGGAGAAAAATCCTGGAATGTTTTCATAAAAAAACCTTCATTTCTTTTCGACTGAAGAAAGAATGACATGGATATCTTGGGTGAGTAAATTATCAGCAAAAGTTTTTTTTTTTTAAAGTGAAAAACTCCTTTAAGATTATTTAGGGTCTAAAAACCCATATGGAATAGAAAAGAAACAGAAAAGCAAAATGATAAAGAGAACAAAACAGAAGAAAAGTGCCATCACGTGATAAAATATTACAGATTACACTAGAAAAGGAAAATAACATAAACATCAGTTCACAAACTCCACATTTATCTTTAAGCTATTCCATGCAGGGCTGAATATCTGTTATTATTGAGTAGTTTTAATGATAATTCATCTTCCTCACCGCCTTGAGTGACAGCTGATGTTCAGACTCATCATCATCCACCTCAACTTTGTGCTCTTTCTTATCTGCTTTCAGTGAGCAACCTACAGCAAGACGGCAAAACTTGTGTTTTATTCAACAATGTTGTAAACATGATGCAAACTAATGGGAAACCCCCTCCTCAACGATCAACCACCCCACACGATACACAACATCCTTTAATTAATTACGCAGGCTGTAGACACGAGATCATAGCAAACAAAAGAGGAAAATAAATACTCAGTCCTCTTTTTCTTAATATATATTTTTAATAAATTGAAATAACATTTTTTTGTATTTAACATAAAGCTATTAACAAAGGCATGTGGCTAGCTGCATTAGCCACAACTCTTTTATTACACTGCAATACTGCAGCAGACGCATACATATGATATATCGCATATGATCATCGCACATATATGATTATGCAACATGAGGGTTTATTTCAGCTCACCAAACAAATACATCTGAGGTCGGCTGATGTCTTTAATGTTATCCTCCATTTTTTGCGCCACAGAAGGTCCTGTTAATCGTAGTTCCGGCGTGTGATTGACTATTGAATGGACGAATGAGAGTGCTTAAGTGGGCGGGCTTTTGGGAGCATCATCCAATAGCATGCACCATTGGTGCTTCAGTAAACTGTCCTTTGTTTTCTTTTTCATGCTTTCAATACCTCATTTATCCGCCAGATGACGCCCTATAATAAAAGATTGGGTACATTTGCCTCTGCGCTTTTTTTAACTAAATACCAGTTTTTATGATTAGATGTATTATTTAATGCAGTTTGACATCCATCCCAAATAATTAAAATAATGACACGTATAAAATAATGACAGTGTAATAAAAGAGTTGTGGCTAATGCAGCTAGCCACATGCCTTTGTTAATAGCTTTATGTTAAATACAAAAAAATTTCAATTTATTAAAAATATATATTAAGAAAAAGAGGACTGAGTATTTATTTTCCTCTTTAGTTTGCTATGATCTCGTGTCTACAGCCTGTGTAATTAATTAAAGGATGTTGTGTATCGTTGTGTATTATTATTATTATTATTATGTATTTTTGTTGTTGTTAAAATTACTGTCTTCCCAATCTTTCACAAAACATAATACATTGCTGAAATTTATGTTTTGGTGAAATTTAAATTTAAATGTATTTATGTTTTGGTGAAAGATTTAGTAATTTTGAGAAAAATTTAATAATTCAAGTTTTGTTTATTTAGGCTTTATCACCAACAAAACAGCAACAGTTGAACAATGTGCTTTCCAGCAAATTGATGCTCTCCACGCTGAGGACATCTGCTGGTTAAAGCGAAACTGCAACGAAAGCAGCATTTGTTCAGTAAAGTTCTGTGAATAATGGCTATAGCCTATTTTAATCAATATCATCACACATCAACTATGTAGCTATGTTGTAATTCATTGATTTAAAGCACTTATGTAACACTTTCACAATTGGAATTTTAATTTTACATAAAATTCATAAATCATTAAACCGATTAGAGATCAGTTATTAAATAAGGTTCCAATAAAGATACATTATATATAGGATAATTTATTCATCTGTGGCATTCATTTAGTTTACCAAGAAACTTGTAAACATAACAAATGGAATTCTACACATTTTTTTCAGTGGTTGTTAGAGGAGACATGCTGCAAGTCGCAGCATGCGAAACAATGCTGTGTTGTTGCAAAGTGCCGGACAAAGCAGAAAATGATTATTTCTGAAACATATATTGCAACCGCGCAGACAAGACAAGAGCGCGAAAAAATCTGTAAGTTACATAACAGCCTCCTACAGTTCTGCAGCTCAATACGCACGCAGTCCAGTCCAGCGCGGCGGTGGCTACACATATCCATGTTGTAAAAAATAAATAAAAAAACATCAGTGCCGTATTGCCCGATAACTGCATGGGCTCACAAATCGGATCTGAACAGTTGCGATAAACAGGACATTTAGATCAGAATCAGATGAGCTGATGCTGTGTGTTTCTCTCAACCACAAACGCTTTCTTTCATCAGTTTTTTAACACTTCTCTTTAACTTTTGGCAGTCTATAGAACACGAAAGGTATTTTCCCGATGCGACCAATTAGTGCAGACCAAAACTCGACCGTTTTTCAGCAGAAAATCAGCCAAATTTGCGAGTCCGTTCAGTTCACAATGGCATTGTTTATGTTCTGTGCCTCCAACATGGCCGACTTCCGGATTGATGACGTGTCGTGATTGAGCGCGCCATGATGAGCTCTGAGGCAACCGACGCATCGTGTTTCTCTAGGCCATGTCTCTTTTCGACAATCTATTAAACTCTTCAGAGGACTTATTTGATTCCCTATTCACAAGAACAAAGGCTTTTTGCTTTGTTAGAGGTGACAGCCATAAAAAAGGACGAAGATAACCGCTTCCAGTTCCACTCTTCATGCAGGCGCTTGGTGAAAAGGCCATCTTGAAAGAAACCCGTTCAAAAGATGCTGCAGCACTTTAACGTGAGTGACCCGTACACACACAGATATGCTGGTCTGACAACACACCCCAAAACACATGTATGTGCCTGTCGGATAAGAGCTCTCAGAGTCCTGCCAACACAGAGTCCTGTTTAATTCTTTCTCATAGTCAAGCCATCAAAAAGAGAGTTCACATTTATAGGGGCTATTCATTAACATACATTTTCTTTTTAATTCCGGTTACCTTTTGAAACCAGTAGAAATTGCTGAAACATACAGTACTATTATTTATACATTTCTCTACTAGCCAGCTTATTTCAAATTTAGCAAAAAAAAAAAAAAAAAATGGGCCCGTTAACCCAGTGTATCATATTTTTGATACATTCGTTTCTATGGCTTTTAAATGATCAACATGGTAAAAGCTTTGCTGAAATTTTAAAAACTTGCACACAACTGACTAAATGCCTTCTGTCGTCTGATTGGTAGTTTATAACTTTAAAGAAAATAACAAGCCTTGTATAGGCTCATTCTAAAAGCATCCTTTGTCCATGTCTTTTTGCTGTTAAGTCTGTACTGATTTTACAAAATAATTTTAAAATGTATCTACTATAATAGATACATAACAGGATTTTGATTGATTTGTGTACCTCAGCTCTCAATCATCATTGTATTGCATTGTGTTTATTTTGCTACATGTCTTTGATCATAACTAAGCCTTTACATATCATTGTATTAAGACATTATTGGGAGACTAGACTACCGATATTAATATGCATTTTATGAAAGTCTGCTATACTGTTGCAAAGATCTTATTGAGTTAAATTAATTTACAAGCTATTCGAATTCCATCTTAAATTTTTGCCCATGACAATATCTGCACCTAATGGACTATTATTGCCAGTCTGGGCCTCTGAATAAAATTGAGGTGTTTTACCTTCTCGATTTTGAGCTCCATTCACACTATATCATATATAAAGGGTTAATAGGCCTCTTTCCTATTAAAGTACTTTATTATAATAATGAGAACTTCAGTTCTTAGATATTTTCCCAACTTCTCACTGTCAGGGGAATGTTTTTGCAGACCTGTATCGCTGTATCTGGAAGAGAACCAGCTATCGGATTTTCTCAAACACAGATGAGCAGATTGGAAATTTAGATGTGTCAGTAACTGCCGGTTTATCAGTTGTTTGTTGCTTTCCTATGGTGATGCTTTTGACAACCCGAGTCCCGACGTTGTGTGAAAAAGCCTTTTTATGCTACATTAAATTCTATAGCAATTGTCCCCCGTAGTATGTCATTCGCCTGATAAAAAGAAATGTTGGCTTTTATTGAAATCTTTCGGAAGATTTGAGTGGCTCGACACAGACATCACTTCATCTAAGATAAAAAATAACGTCAATACAGTCTATTTTCAGCACACCAAGAAACAGTTTCAAAATGTCTAAATACTGGCTGATATGTTTCTTCTGGTTTTTATTACTTGCATTAGCTGCCAAATGAGATGTATGGATGCATGCTCGGTCCTTTGTTAGTCTTATCATATCTTTAAGGACTGTGCTTATTCTTCTGGTTGTGTTTGGGATCTTTGAACTGTTGGACATCTGATGTAATCTGAAAATGCAGACTTCTTATGACGAAGTGGAGGCCATATAGGTCATATTGGTTTGTAGCGTCTGTGAGATAAACCGGAGCCTGTCTAGGAACATTGAGTGAGATAGGAAGTGTGATACTTAACCTCTCGCTTCTCACTCACCTTGTGTGGCAACATTTTATTGGATGAGGTGAGGGCCCTCAGGTAGATAATGGCAAAAAAACACACAAAAAAAACATAATGGCACATCAGGAGGAGAAAGAGAAGCTCAGAGCACCGGTGGCCAAACACAATAGAGATTTTTCGAAAACAGAGACCGAAAGGAATTTCAGCAAAATGAGCCAAGTCACGTCGCAGTAGCAGAATAGACAGGAAGATGAAAGCGGCTGGAAGACTGACCGAGGAAATGAGGGTAGAAGAGGCGTTACCGCGGCAACCGACTCACACTGACAGGATCTTAACCAGGCGAGATGCCATCAAACTTAGCTAAACAAAATAGGAGTGTGTGTGATGGCTAAAACAGACATTGTCCTTGCTTAGGGTACAGTCTGAAAAAATGTAACGCTTAATAATAGAAGAGAACGAATACAAAACAAAGGAAGTTTTGATCAATAGATTGCTTAATATATTCTACTTTACTTGAAATTAGGGCTGTCAAACATTTAATCGCATCCAAAATAAAAGTTTGTGTTTACATGATATATGGGTGCACTGTGTATTAGGGATGGGCAACGATTAACCGCGATTATTCGCATCCCAAATAAAAGTTTTTGTTTACATAATATGTGTGTAGTGTGTATAATTAATTTGTAAATATAAATACACACACATGCATGTATATATTTAAGAAATATTTGCATATATTTTATATATATTTATACATAATTAATATTATATAAAAATATAAATATTTGATAAATTAATAACACATTTTTCTTAAATATACACATACATGTGTGGGTATTTATATATACAAATTAATTATACATACTGCACTCACATATATTATGTAAACACAAACTTTTATTTTGGATGCGATTAATCGTTGCCCATCCCTACTGTGTATAATTATTTTGTGTGTGTGTGTATATATATATATATATATATATATATAAATACACTCACATGCATGTATATTTAAGAAAAAAATATTATTTATATATATAAAATATTTATATTTTTATATAATATAAATTATATAAATCTAAATCTATAAATCTATACAGTATATACATGAAAATATTTCTTAAATATATACAAACATGTGTGTGTATTTATATATATATATATATATATATATATACAAAATAATTATACACAGTGCACCCACATATATTATGTAAACACAAACTCAAACACAAACTTATTTTGGATGCGATTAATCGTTTGACAGCCTTGCTTGAAGTATACTGTATATGCCAATTAAAAGTTTAGGGTTGGTAAGTTTTTTTTTTTTTTTTTTTGATTTTGAAAGATGTTTCTCGCCAAGGTTGCTTGCTTTGGTTGTTAAAAACAGTAATATTGTGGTGATTCGTGATTGTATGAATTTAAAATAACTAATTTGAAATTGATTCCTGTGATCAATGCTGAATTTTCAGCATCATTACTCCAGTCCTCAGTGTCTCATGATCCTTCAGAAATCACTCTAATATGATGAGTGGCTGCTCAAGAAACATTTCTGATTATTATCAATGCTAAAAATATATTAATATTTTTAAAAAGAACTGATACATTTGTAAATGTACATGTTTTTGGTGGGGACAACCCGAATGCACAAAGACTCATGGGGACTCGTGTCAGTGGGGACCTAAATTGAAAACACCTTATGAATCATACATGTCTTTTTCTTTCTTCTTTTTTTTTTAAATATAAAAATGCAGAAAGTTTTCGCTGATAGGTAGGTTTAGGGGTATAGTTTGTGTAAGGGAATACATTTTTTACTGTATAAAAACCATTACGTCTATGGATAGTTCCCACAAATATAGTAGGTGTGTGTTTGTGTGTTGACTGGTAAACCCTAGATTATTGGACAAAATGTCCCCTCAAAGATGGCAATATCCTAAATCCTTGTCCTTGTGGATAAATCAGAGTGATGCTTCTGGAAAATGTACAATTGTTTTTGTGGTTTAGGGTAGTGTTAATGTAAGATGATAGAATATACATTTTGTACAGTATAAAAATCATTATGTGTCCCCACAAACATGAAAACAAAATGTGTGTGTACGTTATTTAAATGTCTTCCATCATTTCAGAAACAATTTCCAAGATTTTAATGTTTAATTCACCTGCCTTAGAATTAAATTGGATCATGATTATGTGTAATGAATTTTAAATCTCACAGTGTTCTCTTTCTGCTGTGGTCGAGCCATAATCAGTTTACTGCTTTAGCATTTCCTGGGAGATGCAGTCGTGTGTAGAACAGAATGTAAAGGCTCATTTACTGTGAATAAAACAGCTATGATTCCACGCCCCCTCCCTGTGTTACGTGTACATCACTCCCATGTGGTAACCAATGCGATGGCCTGTTTTGGCTGCTGTTTCGGCTCTCAGAGATCATATCAGTTGTTTACGCCCCTACAGTGTCTGGGTGGACATGGGTGATGAATGCTTTCAAAATACGTGTCAAGAACTTGTTTTCTGTATAAAACTGCACTCAATTATCGTTGATAGGGATTTGGACTAAAAATATGTTGTAAAATAAAAAGTGACCTGTGTAATTGTTTATCATTTTTAAAGGGATGGTTCACCCAAAAAGGAAAATTTTGACATTATTTACTCACCCTCAAGTCTTTCGTTCATCTTCAGAACACAAACGTTAATCTGAACTATTTCTGTTCTTCCGTCGACTGCTATGGTACTGCCACATTTGCGCTTCAAAAAGAGACTCAATCGCTATATCTGATAAAAACCGATTGAATTGGCTATTTACAAATAAACATTGATCAACTCAGACATCAATTGTGGTAAACGTTCTCATCCCAAGGCGTCATATTATACGACCCTTTGCCAAAGCGTAGACATCCAACGCACATGCCACCCTTTAGCATCAATATGAGACATATATATATGGGCCAGGAGGCGCCTCCTAGTGGTCTAACCCTAACCCTACCCCAGACCTAACCTACCCATACTGTGTGCGTGTTATATTGATGCTAAAGGGATGCCATGTGTGTTTGATGTCTACGCTTTGGCAAAAGCGTTTTGTATGAGGCCCTGCGATGAGAATGCGTTGATACGAATTCGTACGAATGATTATACGAATTACGTACTAATTCGTACGAGTGAAGTCGTATGAGCCACCTCGTAAAATTGGTACGATTTCCCGTGAGATCGAGTTGAAAATACCGGTTGTTTTTTCGGTCTGCGCAGTCGGTCTTAAAGTGACAACACACACCTAATATTCCAACTGTTGTCTGCGTCGTTAATATTAGACTAATAAAACCACAAAATATAGCTTTAACAAATATGAAATTTTATTTAATTTCAACAGTGGACAAATAATGTGCATTCGAGGCTTAATTAATGATTTCTGTACCTGAATAGGCCTACTACTTTTAGACCTTGTAACTTTGTTATTTAGTATTCATCTCTGCTTGTAATTTGTGTATTTGTTATTTTATTACTGACTGTTCACTTGTTTTAAATAATGTGTAAATTCAGTTAGGCTATAGTTTTTGATGTAGTAGCTATCAAAGAACTTCAAGTGAGCTTTAAAGGGTTAGTTCACCCAAAAATGAAAATTAAGTCATTAATTACTCACCCCCATGCTGTACCAACCCCGTAAGACCTTCGTTCGTCTTCGGAACACAAATGAAGATATTTTTGATTAAATTTGAGAGCTGTATAACTACCACATTGGCTCCTAAGGGACTGCCTCTTGACGGCCCAGAAAGTCAATGAAGAAAATGTTTAAATATCCCAAGTGACTACCGTGGCTCAACTATATGTTTATCAAGCGACGCGAATACTTTTTGTGCGAAAAAACAAACAAAAATAACGAGTTTATTCGACTATTTCTTTTCTTCCTTGTAGGCCAGAACGAGACTTCCTTAGATTTCCACGACGCATGCGCGAGAATTGCGATCTGAAGTGGTGTAAGCTGGTGTAAGCAGATCGCAATTCTCGCGCATGCGTCGTGGAAATCTAAGGAATTCTCGTTCTGGCCTACAAGGAAGAAAAGAAATAGTCGAATAAACTCGTTATTTTTGTTTGTTTTTTCGCACAAAAAGTATTCGCGTCGCTTGATAAACATATAGTTGAGCCACGGTAGTCACTTGGGATATTTAAACATTTTCTTCATTGACTTTCTGGGCCGTCAAGAGGCAGTCCCTTAGGAGCCAATGTGGTAGTTATACAGCTCTCAAATTTAATCAAAAATATCTTCATTTGTGTTCCGAAGACGAACGAAGGTCTTACGGGGTTGGTACAGCATGGGGGTGAGTAATTAATGACTTAATTTTCATTTTTGGGTGAACTAACCCTTTAAGTAATACGCGAAAACCAAAGTTATATATATATATATATTATTTATTTATTTATTTATTTTCCTGATTCGAAAAATGATCCGATCCGTAGCTCAAAAACCGTAAATAATCCGAACGGTGAATTTTGTGATCCGACCACTAGCTTCCACAACAAGAACCAATGAGGTTTATTCTCAGTCGTCAAACAGGTTCAGCTGAGCTTTGTTTATGTTTGCTGATCAATGTTTAAATGTAAATAAAAGCCTAAATTAAATCTGTTCTTCAGCGATCGTGTCTTTTCAGAAAATTTGGACTAAACTGCTCAATGTAGATTAGTTTTACGATCTCTTTATGAACTTTTTGAAGTGTCAAAGTGGTAGTTGTGTAGCTGTCAATGGAGGGACAGAAAGCTCTCAGATTTCATTAAAAATATCGTGTTTTGAAGATGAAACGCCATGAAGTTGAGTAATTAATGACAGAACTTAATGACAAAAATGATTATTCTAAAATAATTTCACAGAGGAGAAAAAAGAGTAGTCTTAGAAGTCACGATTCTTTTTAATATAAAACACCTTTAAACGTCACTTCATGAAGAATCCAGAGAGAGCGCCTCCATAATTGCTTCCAAAGTGCGTTTTAGGAAGGACTCCAGCTTGAAAGAACTAACAGTTTTTAGTCCATCTCTTCATACAAGAAATGTAGAGAACATGCATCACAAACACATCTTACAAAGTCCAAAGGGGGAAAAAAAACACAAATAAAAAGAACAAGAATGAACGAGTCTGGGGTTGAGTCAGTCTCCTTGATGCCAAACGGCACGTAGACAGCCGTCTTGATGGGTGAAATTCATCAGACAGCTTTGCGGTTTTGGGTTGGAAAGGACATAGCCCGTCCCTCTCTTAGATGGGTAGCTGAAGAAAGAGGAACGAGAATGTAGCGTAAGGGTCGAGCAAATGACCAGTCAAATGTAAACTGGGTGTGCTTGTGTTTGCCTGGTTTCCACTTTAACTGGGAATACATTAGGGATTTTGCTCCACGCCAAGACTTAAATAGACACATTTCTGAGTGATAAACAAACAAATACACACTGAAATTGCTCTAGCGATTTTATCTCAGGCTCAAAGCTGATCCTGTCAAAACCAATTATTTCCATGGGTGATTGGAAAATACGTTTTTACAGAGCAAGATCTCACAAAAAAAATGGCGTCGTACAGATTCTCGTGAGTCCAAGTGAGAGATCCACCCAAATTAACGGCTAATCGGTGTCCTACATTGTACTATAAAATCCTTTCTCAATTAACTAGCACACATGAGAGTTGTGGGTCAGACCACAGATGCGACTGAGGTGACGGACGTCACCTTGTTGTCATCGGCCCACGGCTGTAAGTTCTGCAGGGCGTAAAGCGAGGAGTTGTGTAGGCAGAGAGGGTCTTGTTGGAGCGGTTGACTCAGGGTCTTCTGAAAGGCCTCCTGTTGGAGCTGTAGCATCAGACGGTTGGCTTGCTGTCGCTCGGCCTCTCTCTCCTCAGCGGTCTGCCTCCTGTCATCAGAGACGCATGATTGAAGTCAACATGATGTGCAGTGACAGAGCCCCTTTTCAAATACAAAAGTGGATTATGTCAACTAACATGTTTATCTAGTGCAGGTCCTAGGCTGGTTTTAATTACCTTGAGAGATCTGAGATCTCCGCATACACGAGAGATGTCATGCCTTTGTGAAAAATAACAATATGTGCGTTATGACTAAAGTCGGTTTGAATGAAACGTGTGAATGTTAATGGCGCCGTACATTTAATAATGCCTTGAACGTACACACGAGGAGCCTATTGGAGCCGTCGGCATAACAGATGTGAATATTATTATATAACAGTATGTGTCAGAACAATGAATAAATCCTATTTTATTGGTCCGGGGACCTGATGTACTTTGAACATCATTCATCTTTTTTTTACCAGCTGCATTCATTTAAAGGGATAGTTCATTTGTTTAATCGCCCTCATGTCGTTTCACACTGCTTCTATAATTGTGATTTTTATTGTATGGAAAAAAAAACTATATAGAAAAAAAGTCATACAGGTTTGGAACAACATGAGGGTAAATAAATACAAAGAATTTACATTTTTGGGTGAACCATCCATTTAACATAAAAATATATATAAAATGAGATTTGTTTTACCCCCTATAAAACTCTTCAAATTTAAAGAACACTTTATAACGAAAATGTTCTATATAGGGAGAAATGTCTTCAATTATTGCATAATACACTCTAAAAAATACTGGGTTGTTTTAACCCAATTTTGGGTCAAATATGAACAAACCCAGCCATTGGGTTACATTTTGTTTGAGTTTGTCCATATTTGACCCAAAATTGGGTTAAAACAACCCATCATTTTTTAGAGTGCACTTTCATGTTTATGGGTTCTTTCACATTTTTTTTCTACTGATAAATGTGTTTACACACTTCTTAATTCATAAAATGTAATACAATTAAAAATTAATTAAAACTAAATCCATTAAATTTAAATAAAATATCAGTGTAACTACAGGTTACACCAACAATCACGATTAATCCCGATTAATCACATCCCAAATAAAAAGTTTGTGTTTGCATAATATATGTGGGTGCACTGTATAATTATTTTGTATATATATATATACATATATATATATATATATATATATATATATAAATACACACACATGCATGTATATTTAAGAAAAATATATTATTTATATATAAAATATTTATATTTATTTATAATATAATATAAATTATATATAAATCTATATACAGTATATACATGAAAATATTCCTTCAATATAAACAAGAATGTGTGTGTATTTTTATATATATATATATGAAGAGTTCAGATGCAAAAGCCTCTAAATGCCATTTGAATTTTTCTTCTTTAATGATGCTTTTTATCAAACTTGTATATTTAAGTTCAGTAATTTTACTTAAATAACAATTAATAGGTAATTATCATTGCCATTTAATTGAAATTACTGAACTTAAATATACAAGTTTGATAAAAAATCGCCATTAAAGAAGAAAATTTCAAATGGCATTTAGAGGCTTTTGCATCTGAACTCTTCATATATATATATATATATATATATATATATATATATACACACAAAATAATTATACACAGTGCACCCACATATATTATATAAACACAAACTTTTATTTTGGATGTGATTAATCGTTTGACAGCTCTAGTTTAAGGATATAAATAGCTCCTTCACAAAACTACACATTGTCCAACATATCTCTTTAGACACTTATAGGGTAATTTGCATATATATTTCAATATGTCTTTATAAGTTATACAAGTACCATTTATGTATAATGCCATATTGTAATGTGTTATCACATTTAAGATGATAAATGGTTCAAGTGTGATCACTTACATCATGGAAAATGGAAAGAAAAACCGCTAAAAACAAACGAGTGCTGCATTTCCCTTCAGGTTTTCCAGTTTTGTCGTGATGCATAATAGACACTTTGAGGATGAAGGATGTATTTGCGTGTCGATTGTACGCGTAACAAGCCTGTGATCAAATGAGCCAAGTGCAATCTCATTACAGTGATGCATTTAGCTGCATGTGACGTGTGGCTAATGGACGGGTAGCAACGATTTAGACCCTCGTGGTGGACAGATTTGGTCATGGAAGATGAGGTATTTAGACCGTATGATTTTCATAGAGGCCTTTCTGAAATCTGAATTCACTTTGAGATCAAATGTTTGCAGTGTTGCTAAATTCAATTGATATTCGGGTTTTGGTGATCCATAAGATTTCCCAGAATTTCATTCCTAAGAGGCCCTGCAGATTCAACAGTGCAGAGAAGGGACCAGGCTAATGAATGTTTCCCAGCAGCTTTCATCAGATACACATAATTGATGAATTAAGTTGATCTCCGTAAATATTGATGAGTAGGCTGAAACAACCATAATACATTTTTATTTGTGAAAGGCCATGACTCAGCTTCATTATAAATAAATCACGTTCAGCCAGCTCTTGTCTGCCTATTGCCTGTTGGTAAAACCAAAGGTAAGTAAGCCTGCTCTTAATTAGATTGGGCACTTATTTGCTCCAAAAGAGCCAACAGCAAAAGCTTGAGTAGATTATGGGGAAAGGATGGACATGCTCTCAATTATTCAGAAGTAGGTTCTGTACTGCATGGACAGCAAGTTTCCACAGAGCCTTAAGAGCTTCAACGTTTCTGCTTGGTCAAGGCAATTGGTGTCCAATGGAAAATAAATAAACAAATAAAATGCAAACCTCTGCAGATTCAAAGTATTTTCCAAATGCCCCCTTCACTTAAGCTCATTTCTGACTATAGCTGTTATTGGGAAATATATCTAATCATATTTGCCAAATGTGTGTGTGTGTGTGTGTGTGTGTGTGTGTGTGTGTGTGTGTGTGTGTGTGTGTGTGTGTGTGTGTGTGTGTGTGTGTGTGTGTGTGTGTGTGTGTGTGTGTGTGTGTGTGTGTGTGTGTGTGTGTGTGTGTGTGTGTGTGTGTGATTAATCGCGATTAATCAGGGCTGTCAAACGATTAATCGCATCCAAAATAAAAGTTTGTGTTTACAAAATGTGTACTGTGTATAATTATTTTGTGTGTATATATATATATATATATATATATATATATACATACACACAATATAATTATATATAAATACACACACATGCATGTATATTTAAGAAAAAAATAGTATTTATATATAAAATATTTATATATAATATAAATTATAAATAAATCTATATACAGTATATACATGGAAACATACTGTATATACAAGCATGTGTATGTATTTATACATATATAAAATAATTATACACAGTACACCCACATATATTAGCCTATGTAAACAAACTTTTATTTTGGATGCGATTAATCGTTTGATAGCCCTAATATATATATATATATATATAGGCTATATATAAAGCTATTGTGAACGTATGACTAACAACTAGGGCTAACTAATGAATACAAATAAAGGCATTCTATAGCACAAAAAACCATTACAATAAATAATGCAATTTTTTAAAGATAAAGTTTTAATTTCTAATAGAAGGACATTTTTAAATTTGTGTATAAATTCGTGGTAATCAAATTTAGTTACAAATAAATAGGACCGCAAATAATATAAAAAATAAATAAATAAATAAAATGTCACCAGAATGTTATTGTTTGTGCTCATTTCGGATTGGTAAAAAAGTGCTGGTGTTCATAATATTCTTGGCGAGGTATTAATATCTCTTCTTTCTTTTATCAAAACAACATGTTGACTTATGTGGGGTTGGACAAAACAAGGCATTTAGAACCGTATATTTTCCCTCACCTCCATTTTGTTCTTCTGTTCTGGAACCAGGTTTTGACCTGAGCGTCTGTCATCTTCAAGGCCTTGGCGAGCGTGGCGCGCTCCGCGGACGCGAGATACTTCTGCCGGTGGAAGCGCTTCTCCAGCTCGCAGATCTGCACGCGGCTGAACGACGTGCGCGGCTTTTTCCTCTTTGGCGGAGTTCGGTTCTGGTACGGGTGACCGATCCGTCGTGTCACGGAGAACGGTGAAAGAGCTGCTGAAGAAAAAAAAACAGGAATTGGCCGTGAGTATGCTAAAGGTGAAAAATATTTGCATTCGTTAACACTTTCAGTAGGCTAAGCCAAATATTATTCACGCATAACCATTAAATGCTTAATGTAGAATTACAGCCTGAGAGCTAATTGTAGGCTAATGTCATGAAAATTATTGTAGGCCTATCCTAATGTTTACTAATATTTTAATTTCTGAAAATTACGTGTTTGATAACTTGAAAATGATTAGGTAGTCTGTAAAGTGTTCCCTTGTTTTGTAAAAGCAAATTTTCAAAGTTTTAATTCTAAATGATTTTTTGTAGCCTATATTTTAATGTTTTCAGCTATACCGTCATCATGACAGTGCAAGTAAATCCATGGTCAGTAGGGCAGATTATAGCCTATTTGTAGGCTATATATATCATATTCTGAAATATGGCCTATGTCGATCTAATTTGGTTGAAAGATGAAGATATAAATGAACGTAAAAATGAGACATTCAACATTCGTAACGACGTTCTAATTTCTATTATGACTCGTTTTACTGATCTGAGCGTTCGATCGGCGTCCCGTTGCTATGGTTACCTCTGAACGCGGCTGTTTTTAAACTTCAGCTCATGGACACATTATAGTTCAGGTTTATATGACATAAAGTGCTCGCAGCAGTGAACTCAGTTTCATTTCTGATTCACTCCTTCTCTATTATGCATTATTCATGGTTTTACAACAGAGGTCTTGATTTTTGTATGCAGAATTGTTTTCACCTCTCCCCTCCATGCTTTTATTTTTTGCTACTAGTTGTGGAATTGGCTGTGAATAAGTGATAAACACCTTGAAAGAAACATGTTTTCTAAATGCGAGCCCACCTTGACCTCTGTTACCTTTTATACAAGTATGAGGATAACAGTGTTTTGGGTCCTTATTTGGACCGTAAAATGATTCCCAGACATGGTGAGACCTTTCCAGTCATTGAGTCAAACCTTTAATGTTTTGCTTATTCAGAACAGTGTTCGCTGGATAGTGAATGTGTACCTGAATTAAACAAACAAGGCAACTGCATAAATAAATCACAGGTCATGCAGTGTGCACATTCAGCACAATGACATTAATTTGCTCATTTCAAACAGCAAATGGATGATGACACTCCCTCTCTTATGCTACACAAGCAGTGTGTGTGGCAAACAGTCATCGCCATTTGATAAATACAAACAAGGATGAAACCACATATTTAGGAATAATATAGACCAAATGTCATATAAGAATCAACCATGGAAAAGACCATATTATCAAGCACTAATATGAATTTTGTCCTTCACGTGTCTGTATATGGAGTTTACACCGCTGAATTTAAATGTATATACATTTATATGTTCATATATCATTGTCAATATAATATAATATTAGTTCATGTAATTAATGTAGTATTATTAAATCAACATAGTGTGGGTGCATGTGTGTGTGTATATATATATATATATATATATATATATATTTTTTTTTTTACACACACACACACATACAGTATGTTTGATTCTGTGTTGCAATGGAATATAAATATAGAACATCTAAGAAATATAGAAATATGAAGAAATATGGAACATCTAAGATGTTTACATGGACAGAGAGTGTGTGTGAATTCTAATTCTGTGAAAAGAAAAACTAAAAGGGAGAGATTAAACTCTTCATTAGATAATTATTTTAAATTAGAATTGTTCGTTTTAGACAGAATAACTTAAATAGTATGACTATCCTAAAATAAAAGGGGAAAATGAAATGAAGGAATTGGGAGTGTAAACCCCTGTTTGTGAGTGACCTTTAACCAAGGTGTTCTGTGATCCTTGTGGCTGAACCTGGGTCTTGCAATGGTTGGCTGGCCATGTGTGAACAACACAGAGAAGAGTGTTTCTATTGGGCAGGTTGGAGTTCAGATAATACCATGTTCGAGATCTGTAAATGTCAACTCCTCAACCACATTGATTCACGTTCTTGTGTAATTGAAGATTCACTGCTGCTCTCAGAAGAACTTCTCAACAGTTCACACACTAGTCACGCTGGGATTCCTGACACGAGGTCAGGCTGACATTGAACCTGTTTTGGGCATAAAAAAGGAGTCGTAATTTTATTTTTTCGATATTTTATTTTGATCTGAACCTTCCATATACCCCGATCATTAGTTTATTTGTCATATTTTATTAGACAAGCTAGTAAAAGACTTCTGATTGGATTAAGCGCATAGACTCTTCATTCCTGTGCGTAATTGGATTTGATTGCTTTTAATTAAAGCGGTGATCTTGAGTGACAGGCGGCACGCGTCATCATCAATTACGCACACGGATAACATTCAGTCTAATCCTATAGAGCGTGTGACATCAAAATTATTAAGATAAATTAATAAGATTATTTGATTTTATTTTTCTATTTTTATTCTCCGTGCGTGGCTATGTGTTTTGTTTTTTTTTCTGTCGATGGCACAGCTTTTACTTGATCGGTGTTATTTTTTCTTTTCGACTATGTCAGGTGTGCAGATTGCAGAACAAAACTAATAATACATTTTCCAGAAACACTCCTCCGCAAATACATATGTGGGTCAAATGGAAACAAAAACAATCCCCGTATTCACTCTCGACAGCAGAGGGAATTCTAAATGATAAGTCTGTGTAATAAAATTTATGGTGAGCGCATCAAAAAATCAAAGCTTGCCTTAGAGAATATGCGGCCAGTAATAAAATCAGTTATACGTGATATCACCTTCATGCGACAGCGCCTGCCTTTCCCATTGCGAATATTACCTTTGTAGAAATCTAATAAATATACATGTAATGGATTCAAAGCGCGATATTGAAATATAACATGGGCATTTGTCGCTATTTACGCGCGGTGAGGCAAAACAGAATGTGCCTTTAAATTTCCCCTCATGCTGGGAATTGAAATATCGAATAAAATAGAATAATTGTCAGGAAAAGCCATAAACCGTCCGCTCGAGAGCCTCGTCGTCCCTTCAGACACTATCACCATGGCTACACGGCCTCGTCTCAGTTTCATAATCATTTGTATTTATGGGTGGGAAAGATCATTATTGTCATTTCAGATTGAGGGGCATCCACATGCAATTTCATTTAGCAATTTCTCCAAGGCCAGTGATATCAGATTACGACCATCACCTGCCCCATGTTGTGATGCAGCTGGACCCAACAGCCCCCACCAGCGGTAACGCAAATACATTTACCTACTGATGAATATACTGTTATCTGAATCAGTGCAAGTGGCTGCAGTGCCTTTTCGGAAACGAATACAGACGTTTGAATTTTATGATACGTTCGTTTTGTGTGTGAGTAGAGATTCTGGCATTGTGTATATTTGAAAATGATCTATTACAGCAGTCATTTCGCTTACAGAGTTGTATATAGCTCGTCGCGCGCCGTTGTTGTCACCAGTGCTGTTAACTGGAACTGAAACGCCGTGCGTAAAGGCCGCGCGCCGTCACCATCACCAGAACACCTGTGTTTATTGACAAGAGAGCGACTGATCTGTTTATGCATTTCTGGATTTTTATAAACTTGCAAACTGCCAAGGAGTCAATTAACAAAAGAACATGTGGTATAGCCTTTCATCGCCAGCTCCCAATTCGGGATGATATGTCCGGCCTGCAGCGCATATCGAGTCTCAGGCCTGTCCGTGCACATACGCGCCGTGACACTTGTGGTGAAATGCAGACATGCAATTCAAGCTGACGGTGAAAATAACTGGAAAAAGAGAAACCTATTCCAGACAACCGTCGTGACTTTACAACAAGGCCTATGCGCATAATGACGGAAGTGGCTCTGGTTTGTTTGGATGAATTAATTGCAATGTTAAAACTAATATAATATAGCAGACTATCTTATAATGTTGGTATAATTTAGTCTAAATATCTTGAAAATGAAAAGACGGCATTTAAGGTTTTAGACGCAATTTTTTAATGGTTTCAGCAAACAGAAATTATTTTGTATTTATATGTATATAGATATGAATGTCTTTTTCCACATCATGTAATGTTTATTTACTGTACATTTAATTTCTTTTTTAAAAAGCGTTACTATATCCAGCGCAATTCAATATTATAATAAACGAGTGGCCCTAAGTGACTGTGAGTAAAATTGATAAGCATATTTACAAAAGAGCATTTGCACTTGACATATCATTCTCTCATTTGAATAATTAATGAGAATAGAGCGGAATTCTGAATATTTAATGCGCAGAAATCCATATTCTTCTTCTTTTTCGTCTGATGTGAGTGACGTCATTTGAAGACTCGAACTGACCAAATGGAAAACGGGGGAGGATGTTACGCTACACACGTACGAGACAACCAACGTCATGGCCTATATTTCCTTATTGTTTATTATCTGGAATTTGCGTTATCAAAATATAGCTACATTTAAAATATATTTAGGCTATATATATATCTATAGATTAAAAAATCTCAATAATAGTCCCACACAAATATTAATCTAATAATAAAATATCGTTTCCTTTTCTGTAATCATGCACTCTAAAAAATGCTGGGTTGTTTTAACCCAACTTTGGGTCAAATATGGACTAACCCAGCCGTTGGGTTAAATTTTTACATTACATTTTTAACCCAACATTTCGGGTTTGTCCATATTTGACCCAAAATTGGGTTAAAACAACCCAGCATTTTTTAGAGTGTACACAGGCTATGCTATTCTACCGAAACGCATGCTTCTTTTTTCCCCGTCCCACTTGGAAATGTTATCCAAAATCGTCCTCTGTTGGATCTCTATTGGTATTATGTTTGCGTAGATTAAAACGATTTGTCAACATGCCATTACGCATTACTACTGGCTGTGACATACTGGCAACATTTAGCTCCCTGCAACCACAGGATCATCATTCATTTGTCCTAATGGCCCAGAGAGACAGTAGCTCAAGAATATAGACGTGACGGTGTCATAAAACCATTCCACAAGAAATTGTGATTTTGAAAGCCACTGTGTTTTTATGAGCAATACACACGTATAATATCTACAGGCCGAGGTGATGCTGGTGCAACAGCATGTGCTGTCTCAAATAAAACTGAATTATTGCGAGCGTGCTGGTTTAAAAGATTGTCTAGTGTTACTGCTCGGTGTTCAGATGCGTCTATATAAAAAGCTATTGAATGGTTTAGCATTTCCCATATTAATTCAAGCGCGATGCAGAGATGTGGCACTTTGCGAGAAAAAAGAAACGGGTAAAACTATACAACAATCATCAACCTAAATATAAATAATAATGGCAACAGAATTAATCTTCTAGACTTAAGTTAGAATGCATTTATTTTAAATTGAAATTCATTTGGCTCCAGAAAAAAAATACTCTTGAAAATTATATGTTAGGTTGAAATATATTTCTCCATATAGAATTATTTTATATGCAAATATGTTATTGTATTGAAGCGTGAATATTACATTTGAATGGTTAAAGATCGTAATGCATTGAAATATGTCTTTAACAAACGGCAGAGTCGAAGAAAATATCTCATGTGGGCCTGAAAAAATGAATTTCTGCTGTGATGTTTTTAATTTATTTCTTACAGTATTTACTCTTCTCTTTTAAAAGGAGCACTAGGCCATATGTAAGGACTTTTAATAATAAAACACCGTTTTATTAAGTAGGCTTATGTGTTTGAATTTCCGTATTAAATATTTTCTGCTATTAATTGAAATGCCGCTGTTTTCACAACAACATTTTTATTATTAGCTAATACGAATTTATGGTAACTCATTGGAAATTCGGCATGCTGCAATTTAAGTTTAATCGGTAACTAGATTTTTTCTCTCTTGATATAAAAGACGTCCATTCATACGCTTGTCTCGTAGAAGAAAAGATCGACCTTAAAAGTCAGCAATAAATGAATTGTCCGTCTTCGCTGATGTTGGTCATAATTAGTCTTTAGCTTGCTTTCTAACATAAGCAGCGCTGAAAAATCATGTCGTCCAAAATCATGTAATCAAGTCTTACCGGTTAGCCGATCTTTCGCAAACCTTCTGCTGCTCTCCATCCAGGGGAACGAGAAGCTGGCGGGACTGCCCATGTTGGGTATCGTGGGCATGGTGGGCATCCCCGCCGCGATGCCCGGCGGATGGGCTGTTGTCGGCGGGTGATGTGCGGGTGGCATGGGTCTGTGGGCCGGGACGCGGATGACACCGCCTGCATTCCCTGAGTTCACGTTTACGTTCATATTCATGCTCACATTCATGTTCATGTTTACATTGTAGTGACCTGCCAGTCCGGCCGCCATCGAACAGGCCGGGTTGTACACGCTGTTGTAGCCGTTGGCGTAGACGTTCGGCGCGAGCGCATAGTCCGAGTCGCCGGTCCGACTCGGAAGCATGCAACTACTCGGCTGATCGGAACCATTGAGAATCTGATCTATTCCAAAACTGATGGGTTCGTGCTGCTGGTGGGTCTGGTTCACCTCTTCGATTCCCGTGTGCTCCATCGTCGTGGTTCTGTCTTTTACTCACAGCTTGGAGGGTCGAGATGTTTAATTCCTAAAACTTCAACGCAATATACGGTTAATTCCCAGACCAGACGTAGCCTATATGATTTTATTTTATTTTATTTTTTTGTTTTGAAAAAAACAACAACAACAAAAAACAAATATTCTTCCCTGAAGTGCTCAGAGCTCGTGCAATTTATATCGCTGCCATTTGATGCACACACAAAAAAACTGTGACGATCAGAAATCACTTTGACTCCTTCGCGATTAAATCAACGTTATCCAAAACTTTCTTGCATTGCGTTTGGCTTTTTATCAGTTCCATGATGATGCCTAAAACAGCAACTCGCCAGTAGAAAAGGCTCCGCGCGCTCACTGTTAAATCCCGGAGTGACGAGTTGCCAAGTTGTATAGCAGACACGACGCGTTTCTGGAGTGGTGCTGTACCTCAGAAAGGCGCGCGGCCCAGACTTCAGCTCATCACTGTTATCTAAAGTGAAGTGTTAACTGTCCGATACGTGCGTATTAATTGTCGTGAGCTGAAAATGTCCTGTTCACGCTCCTCTTGAAGTGATTCCGAGCAGGTGAGACAAACCCCTTCTGCCCAAACTCTGTCACGCGCGTCTCCATTGGCTCTCGCGCACTTCTATAAAGAGACAATGCCTCGCGCCCGCACCCCTCTCTTAAAGAACCCGCTTCTATTTTTTTTTCCTTAACCGTGGCTGTTCTTTTAAAGCTCGCGTTTAAAAAATAAAATGTTTGACGTTTCTATAAAATAGAGCAGCGTAGCCGAATTATTAAAAAGCGTTGACGTAAGTAGTTTGGCATAATCTTGATTGTTTCTTTCACAAAATTAAGCAGTGAAGTGATTTTGTTTTTAGATATTATCAATATTTGATCTGCCAAATTAAAGTCAGTGTGCTGTAACCAACTTGCAGGTAGCCATTTTGTTGTCATGTGACAAGAAAAACATTTAGCCTAACATAACTCTAGACCCTATGACTGTGGGCCACCAAAGTGGGCCATTTTTCAACAATATCATATTTTGACCTTTATTTATGAAAACGCGAATTCAATTCGAGTAACCGTAAATATTGATAATCATTATATTTGTTTTAATTTTTTTATTTATTATGTTTAAAGGTGCAGTTTATGCTGTCTTCATTTATCCTTACACTTTCACTGTAAAAAAATATTTTCATGATTTGCAATCACAACATTTTTTTCTTTTGTCAAATCAACTTAAATAATGTATGTGGTTGATAACATAATATTTTGAGTTTCTGATGATTAAATCAATCTCCGTCATTGTATTAACTCAATTTTTCCATTTCAATGAACTTAAAATTTTAAGGCAACACTCTAAAAAATGCTGGGTTGTTTTAACCCAACTTTGGGTCAAATATGGACTAACCCAGCCGTTGGGTTAAATTTTTACATTACATTTTTAACCCAACATTTCAGGTTTGTCCATATTTGACCCAAAATTGGGTTAAAACAACCCAGCATTTTTTAGAGTGAAGCAGGTTACTTCTTTTTTTTTTCTTTTTTTTTTTTAAGTTAAACAAACAATATTTTTTTACAGTGTAAGCTACTGGATGATTACTTTTAGATCATTTGTCATTATATCAACATTTGTACAATATAAATAGGCCTAGACATTACAACTTGTGGTTTAAACTACACACTAAAAAATGCTGGGTTGTTTCAACCCAAATTTGGGTAAAATATGGACAAACCCAAATGTTGGGTAAAATTTTAATTAAAAAAAAATATAGTTGAAAGTGAAAGTTGAAGTTGGGTTAATTTTAATCCAACATTTGGGTTTGTCCTTATTTGGCCCAAATTTGGGTTGAAACAACCCAGCATTTTTTAGAGTGTATGTTTTTATCTCGTTTGCCATCGACTCTTTGACAATTTTCCAGGAAAATTCTGACATGGTTGGGCTATATTAGAATAATAACAGTGATAAAAGCAGACTTCATTTTTAATGCTGTGAAAGATAAAAAAAATAAAAAATAAAAATAAAAAAACGGGTTGCGGGTCGATTCTGTTAATTATGCCATCCAATAAAGGCCAAAATGTTTAGTTCAATTGTGAAAAGAGCTCTTCGGCTTTTGTCAAGGCTACAGAAACATGCAGCTACACATGGCAATGCGTTTGCTTAATCAAATGAAAGTGAATTTCATTGAAGTGCACTGTAGCCTTTGGGTGCGTAAAATAAAGGCTGGAGCCAGAGAAGCATCGGTTGCCTTTAGTGATGCAGAAGCCGCTGTGATTGGCGCAAATAATTTAACCTTTTTCTGCCTGAAGCTACAGTGGAAGATTCTCCGCTCTCAATTCAATAAAAATGAAAAATGGCGCATAATAAAACCTGAAAGCAAGGAAAACGAATTTAATATATCATCGTTTTATTACGCACTTATTTCAGCTTTCGCACGAATAAAAATATTTCTCCACAGCACAAAGTGGCTAGAGGGAAGCATAAAAATCAATTTTCTGAATACAAAGCTGTATCAATAAGAAGCGCTCTTCCTGTGCGTGTGTGTGTGTGTGTGTGTGTGTCAATAGCAGGAAAACATGTTGTTGGTTCTCAGTGATGTCGAATAAAGCATCCCGGAGTCGTGGCTTTTAACTGCACGAGGTCGTGTTGTATCACACTGTGAGTTGGTTCTCTTTAAAGTTTGTCATCTGCCATCATAATCGTTTGCTTTCAGTTTGAGAGCATCACGGTTTTAAAGGCCCATATCTGGGGTCATAATCAGCATCACGAACCAGTTAAGAAATAAAGCTCAATCATAATTAACAATCATGATTAAATATTAGTTTCTGGTTTTCATTTCCATGATTTGGCCCTAATGCCGTTTTGTGCTCTATAGATCTAATTTCTTGCACATGCATATTCCTGCTGCAGTACTTATTTTCCCTAAGATTGCTTTATTTTAACCACAGTTATTATCGGACTAAATGAACTGTGCTGGAAATGTTTTAATTGCGTTTCTCTCTTGCTGTTATTGAGTTGAATTAAATTCCAGAAGCAAACGCTTCCCCGCGTTCTCGAGTTGTTTTCGTCAGCAGTGAATGTTAAACACAATTACATTTTCGCGCGGAGGCAAAATATTATCTAATGGTTACTAATTGCTTTAAGTTGTAATTATTTTTAACACTAAGAAGCTCTCGAATTATTGAACCTGACAAACCGCGCCTACCCAACTCTTGTTTCATTTCATTAGGTGCAATGGAGTGTTTATTCTAAAATCCATCCAATTAATGTCCTGTTAAAACATTGCAATGTATAAAACGCTATGTTCAGATGAGAAATGCATGCATAATATGAAAGCAAATCAGAACCGTAATTTCGAAATTAGTTCTGCCAGTGATTTTCAGGGCTCGACGAAAAAAAAAAATTGATTTTTTTTTTGTACCTTGTGATGTGAATATAATATCTGATGCCAGTGTCTGAGTTGTTGCCATGGTTACCTCCGCAAGCGAAGGCGATTTTTGTTCGCGAGCGCATTTTGCGCACTCTAACTTTTGTGGAGATTACGCAAAACGAATGCATACTTTAAAGTTTAAACACCCCCTAACCCTTTAATTTCGACCTAATTTGGTTCGTGCCCGAAGCCTTTCTAAAGTGGCGGTGCAAGCCTGATATAAAGCCCTTATAGCTGGTTGCCCGTAGGCGATATCTTGGCAAGGATGTTGAGGGTATATAGGGGTCGTTAATAAATCGGAATCTCCAGGCGATGCTGATAATAAAGTATAAAGACAAAGCGAAGACAAAAAGAATTTGTCACAGTGCGCCTTTCAACAGATTCGGTGACCCCCGCGCCCTCCCGGGTGTATAACCTGTTTCAGGGCGCTTTTGGAGATTTGCAAACAACTGTGATGGTGTTTGCTCAATATGGTGTCACGGGGATTGGAAGGCGATACCAAGCAGCACAGCTCATGACAAATGGCGATTGCAACGCTACATAAAGAATGAGATGAGTCAGTAGCAAAATAGGCTAGTTACTCCGAGCCTCCAGTTATTTACACGAGCTGTCAATCTAAGCAAATTCACGTCGATTTTTTTTATAATGGTGAGAAACAGTCCAACAAAAACAACATAACAAACAGCCATTAAAATGAATCGCCAGAACACCTGCCGCCGACATGTTCAATATGAACGCGGCACGTGGGTTTGAAAGGAAAATCCCACCCATCACAGCTGCATCCATCTATAGATTATGAGGATTGACTGTGCACTGCATCTGTTTTTCACTTTAAATGCAAGGCGATCTTTTACTGTTGCAGTTGTGCATTTAAATACAACTGCTATTGCGGAACAAACAACTAATAATAAATTATAACACTTTATTTTACAGTGTAATTATTACATGTTACAGTTCATTTGCGTGTACATTAATGCACGCACCCACACCACTAATAACCCATGCGTATGCACGTTAAAACTCATTTTTTGCGTATAAATTGCGTGATAAACACACTGCGTGCTATAGAGACGCATTTAGTGTGATCGGGTTGATATGCATCATGCAACTAACCCCAAACCCTAACCTTGTATAGTTATTTTATATAACCAGTAGCCTACTTAAATGTAAGTGTATCAAAGACACCTTAAAATAAGTGTAACCTAATACATTATAAATATAATACTGTGCTATTGTTATTACAGGCCTATAATTAGAATATATTTCTTTATTTGATCTTTAATCTTCTTAATCAAGAATCTTCAAAAAAGACTTTGTGCGTTTCAGCAGAGAAATGGCTCAACACCTCTGGCTGATCTAGTGTCAGTACATCCTTTTACCTTCAGCATTTCCTCGTGTGCATTTTGGCCTCGTGCCCCTCAAATGCGTGTGTGTGTGTGTCTGTGTGTGTGCGCGCTCCGATGAGCCTGTCAAAGAGACTATTCGCATCCATTGCACCATTCTCCATCCCTCCCATGACTGTTGTGCTTTCTGCTGTAATTAGGTTGAATTCAGAGCAGATTGAATTACGTTATTCTGCATCTCGAGCTGCAGTCCTTGACTGTCTCTCTCCCCCGGGAGAACCTGGCGCCTGCTTGCCCGATCAGACGGCTTCAACTGGACGGACCGCCAAAAGAGCGCACCGGGATCTCCGATACGTCATCTGGTAATGTGGGCTAAATGAGAGGTGTGAGGGCAGGGGAGACGGGATAACATCGCAAGGTCTTGTGTGACCTGGAACAGATAAAGTGTTAGAATAATGAATTGTTTTATTCACTTTGTCGATATGAATTTTGCGCGCAGAGGGCGTTTAGGAGAAATAGGGATGGTAAAGGAAGAAAAATCATTTTGTTTGCTTTTTGGATGTATAGTTTATTTCGAGCTTTATTATTTTAGTTTATTGATATTATTATTGAATGAATGAGATAAGAGAAAAAATATTAAAACGCATGGTAGCATTGTTTATTTGTTTTTGTATGCATGCGTTTGTTATAGGCGATTTGAAATTAGCCTTTTCTTTTACTTATGTATTATCAGAATTTGTATGTTTATATTAACTGAGTAAAAATATTTTAACTCGAGGTTTTCAATCTATTCGATGTAACTAATTTAGGCAAGATATATCTATGTCAATAATCTGGTAGGCTATGCAATGTTTCTAAATAAAAAAA